ACTTGGTTCGTCCCGGGTCGCTGGGGCCTGGGCGCTGGGACTCCTTAGGGCTCAACCTCCGTCCTCTGACCCTTGACCCTGAGTCCCTCTGTAGCCCCCCACATTAAGGCGAGCGCGGTACTCACAGCCTGGGCTTTGCTGAGAGCGGCGTTGGTCTTCCCCCGATTCGGCGTCCCCAGACGCCTTTTCCTCCCGGAGCCCTGCTGGGGACCCCTGCTGGGTGCCTCCCCTGAGCTGGGTGTCCATCTCCTGTGGATGCCCATCCCCTGTGGGTGTCTGTCCTCTGTGGATACCGCCGCCCAAGGAAATCTGCAGACTCCCTTGCGGTCGCAGGAGGCTCGTGTGCTCCCACCTCCTGCACCCTGTGCCCTGCGCCCCTGGACCATCAGGCACCTGCCTTCACCCTGCTGTCCACCACCTGACCTCTTGACTGGCTCTGAGCTCACAGTGTGGCCCCTTTCTGCGGCCTGAATGTTCGCTGTCCTGCCTGCTGGTCCTTCAGACTCAAAGACACCCCCCTATGCACATCTGTGTAATAATGCCTGTCTCTATGAATGGCCGTATTCTCAGACCCAGTCCTTCCTGCATTGCAGCGTCTTGATTTGGTTGAAGTAGGTGAAGGAAGTCCAGCCTCACACTTGCATAGTTAGAAGAGGCTTGGAGGTGATTGGCCATAGCCCGCCGGGGCTGTGACCCAGGTCACAGTCACGGCCCACCGCACCTCCGCTCCTCCTGGCGTTTCCGTAGGTCAGCACCATGTCTCTGCCCCTGTTAACCTGTGTTCTGCCTTCCTCCCTCCAGGCACATGCCAGGAGGGCAGGGGGCTTGTCTGCCGCGGTCAGTGCGGCCTCCCCAGGGCCTGGCACCTGGTAGGTACTCAAAGAATATTTCTTGGACAGAGGAATTGCAGGCAGTGCTTAATTAGGTCTCCACTTAGTCTCCCAAAAAGCTCTCCAAAGCTTTTGGGTCTCAGTTATCCAAGATGTTGTTTGTTCCCGGCAAAGAGGCTTCCCCAGGCCTGGACAGCGCCTTGTGGCTCCCACCTGCCCTTGCCCAGGCTTGGGCCGGTGTCCCCGTTTCGCTCCTGGGTTCGCTCCTCTTTCCCCTGTCTCTGCTTTCGGCCCATTAGAAAGCAGGCTGGGTGTCATCTCTGCGCTGCTCACTCGCCCGTTGTCCTCCTCTCCCACTGGATCTTGAGCGTCTCAAAGTCAGGGCCTTGGTCGGCCTTCTTCCCCACGTGGCAGCCGGAGCAGAACAGGTGTGGGCATAGGTCCGCAGGGACTTCACAGCCCCTGCCTGTGCGGGTGGGAAGTCAGAGGGGCAGCGAGGGTCGGCCCAGTGCCCTGGCCAGCGCTCGCACTGCACCCCCTGGGGCCCTTGTCCCTTTGCCTCTCCGGGCCTTGGCGGGAACCGGGAGCGGGCGTGGTTATAGTGGCTTTGCGGTCCGTCAGTGGTTAACCCTGTGAGCCGCCCTTTCCTCGCTCTGGGGCGGGCAGGAGACGGGCGCCCCTCTTACGGGGTGCTGCAGTAATGAACGCAGAAGTGCCTGTGAGTGCTGGCTCCAAAGCGGGCTCAGTAACAGCTGCCATGTCGTCTTTGTGTCCCCCCAGCCCATTGCACCCCTTTCTCGGAAGAGCGTGGGACCCTCCTGTCTTCTCAGAATTGCCATCCAGCCCAAACGGCCCCTCTGCCCTTCCTCCGCGGCGTCAGTAGCTCCTCCACGGCAGAGCGTGAGGGTTTCCGTGATCATTCACGAGGTTTTCACTTGTGCTGACCTCACGGAGCGCAGTCCTGCAGGACAGCAGCGACTGTGGGCGTGGCGACCCCGGTGGCAGGATCCCATGTGGGGGACACTGCTGGGGGAGGGGTGCTCACCCTGAGGAGGAGGCGTTAGATCTGGCTCCTGAAGGACAGACAGGAATTACCCAGGGGTGAGTGTGTGCACGCGCGTGTGCGCGCCTGTCTGCGCTTGTCCGTCGAGAGGGTGGGGGGGTGGGATGTCCGAGAGGAACGGAGCAGGGCAGGGTGGAGGTGAGGAGGAGGGCGGTCCAGGTGGCAACTCTTCCGTGGGGTCGGGAGGAAGGGAAGAGTCTGGGTGTCACAGTCCCTGCAGGAGCCTGTGTCTCAGGTGTCGCCTCTTTCTCCATCGCCCACGCGGCCATTGCTGCCCGCCTTCCCCTGCCCAGCTCCGTGTTTGGGTGGCTGTTCCTTCTTCCCAGTATGGGTCCTACCCGGTGCAGCCGGGGGCCGTCCCGCGTGCCCCCTTCAGGAGGGACTAGCCCGTGAGAGTTCTTCAGCGACACCCGCCGGCCCAGTGTGGCACTGGTCCCCGCAGTGCGCGGGGAAGGAGAAGGAGGCCCTGGGTTGGGAACTGGGCCGCTGAGCCTTCTACAGAGCAGGCGCAGTCCTGCTCTGGGGAAACACGGGGCAGGCAGGCCTGCGCGGCTCCTTCCAGCGGGTTCTCATGGTGCGCACCCTGCTGGTGCTCTCAGCCGGGAGGACTTTTTGGTGCAAAGGCCCCTCAGACTATTAGGACACTCAGTTTGAATGAATAAACTTTCCACTTTTCTAAGAAAAGTCAACGGGAAACAATGTTTCTCTGAAAAAAAAAAAAAAGCTTGGGAGTCAACTTTATGGAAACTTCCATTTGCTTTTGTGAATATTTATTCAGTTCCGATGGTGAGCTCGGTACCAAGGACCCAGGAGTGTAGCTCCCTCTGTACGTGGCTGGCCGGTGAGCAGACGGGTGCAGGGTGGGTGGCAGGTGCCGTGGCCGGGGAAGTGCAGGGGCCGCCGAGTGGGCTTAGGGCTGGACCCTGGAGCCTCCCAGAGCCCTGCTGGGCTGGTGGCTCTCTCGCCGGCTGTCGGTCAGGTCACTCCTGCTTATAGGTTGTGGACACCTATATGAGCTCCGTGGCTTCTGTAACATATAACCGCAGAGCACGTGGCTCAAACCAACACACATGTTCTCTTTGAGCGCTTGGGGCTGTAAGTTGAAAATCCGTCTCGCTGGTGTCGACTCACTCAAGGTGCGGGAAGGGCGGTTTCCCTCTGGGGCTCTGGGGGAGTCCGCTTCCCGGCCTTTCCAGCTGCCGGAGGCCCCTGCACTCCTTGGCGCGAGGCCCCTCCTCCACCTTCACCTCTCTTTGTCTGCTTTCATTGTCACCTGTCTTTGCTCTGCGCCCTCCTGCCTCTCTGGTAAGGGCCCTTCTGACTGTATGAGGCGCACCCGGCTAATCCAGGATAATCTCCCCATCCCAGGGTCCTTAACAGGAATTGCTTCCGCCAGTGACAGAGATGCCAGGCTGAGCGGGCACCTGCCAGCGAACTTTCCATCCTCTGTTACACTAGAGCCTTCGGTCTGTCTCGCGTTTTGGGTGGATCCTTTCCTGCTGCAGAGGTTTCTGTTGTAATGCCTTGTTCCCTGGGAAAATACACGTTCTTAGGTACGCAGATCTCCCAGATGTTGTTGACACATTGAATTGTACAATTTCCAAAGATCACTTTTGCTGCCGGCACTGCCCATCATCTCATCAGAGAAACTGCCAGACCGGCGGCGGGGGGCACACCCCCCTCTCTAACTGTTGCCTGCAACCCGAGTGGGAGTCCAGGTCTTCCCTGAAGTGACAGGCGCATTTTGGTCACGCTGGAGAGATACCTGCCAAGTACAAGTCTGAATAAGCATGTTTCGTTTCCCAGCCGTCCCTTCCTGGAGCCGTGGTGTGGCTGTGTGAACAAGGCAGCCAGCTCCTCGCAGCCACCAGGCTGGCGGGGGGCCGGGGCGGGGGGACCCGCTGCCTTCAGGTCCCAGCAGGATTTTTTGTTTCTATTTCCCGTCTCATCCCAGAAGAGGAAGGATGCATATCCTCAGGGTCGAGATGAAGTTGAGTGTGCACTTTTCACAGTTTCCCCAAGGACACCCTTAAGTGAAGCGGATTGTGTTTTGCTGTGGGTGGTGAGGAACAGGACCTCCCGCAGGGCTTGGTCGCTGTGCGGGGCCCGCAGCCGCAGACCGTGGCCTCGCTCTCCATCCGCCTCCCTCCGGCAGAAGTCAGCACAGGGAAAAAGGCAACTTTCACCCGGATGTTACAAAATAGCTTTGACCTTGCGGAGCCCTTGACTAGCTTGGGGAACCCCTGGGGTTTGGGGACCACGTTTACAGAGCTGCTGGCTTAGAAGACCAACTCGCTGCCTTTTCTCCTTGCTTGTCATTTAATGTGCAGAATTCGGCCACTTGTCAAAGCCAAGATCTTTAGATTCTCTCACCCAAACAGAATCATGAGAAGGTTTAGATCCCTGTCTGGCTGGGAGGCAGATAGTGTCCCGAGTGAGCCAGGTCTTCTAGAAGCCTGTACCACTCAAAACCTGTCCCCAGCTTTCCCCAGCAGTAAGAGACATTCTCTGTAGCTGAGCCGTCCTGGGTGACTGGGCCCCCCTCACCCCTGGACCCCCCTGCCCTCGCTCGGGCTTCTGCTCAGCCAGCGTTTTATGTGTCTGAGGGTCGGAGCTTCCACACCAGCCCCTGGCAGCTTAGCCGATGGCCGCTCTGTGCCAGGGGCTGCAGGGAGCGCTTCACCCTTGGCACAAGTAGCAGACGGTCTGAGATTCGCCCCTCATTGGCTCCGACCGGGCCCTGCTCCCCAGTGCCTTCTAAGACAGCCCTGTCCCCGGGCCTGGCCACCCAGCTGTGCAAAGCAGCCCCGTGTGCGTCGGCCCCCGAACCCGTCACTGAGGCCGGGCGGTTGTGGTCTGCTCAGCTCACGAGCAAGAAGGGCCCGTTAGGCTGGGGAAGGCGGCTTGGGTGCTAGTCTCCCCCACGGGGCGTGGAGGTGGGATCGTGGGGTGCGGGGTTCGGGGATGCTGGGTGCTCTGGGATTCAGTGGGAGGCAGGAGGCTTTCGGAGTTGCTGTGGGCTCTGTGGTTCTTACAATTATCCCGTTTGTTTGGACGCCAATGGTGCAGGCGACCCTCAAGGCCCAAGTGACACCCAGACCGGCGGGATGCATGACTGGCACCAGATTTTTGACCAAAACGTGTTGGTCCCTCCCCACCCACAGCGACTGCGCCAGCCCTTGAAGGAATCGACGGCATTTCAGTGTGTCCTGAAGTGGCTCGATGGGCCGCTAATTAAGCAGGTAAGGAAATTTGCTATTTATTGTCAAACACACATTTTTATTGCTCTATGCTGGGAGGCTATTGATTTTCACTTATTTATCTGCGTCTCACTATTGTACCCATTACCTTGGGCCTTGGCACTATTCGGAGGCAAAGCGGCCCATCAGCAAGGAGAACACATGATTCAGCAACTCGGTCAGCACTTTTGACACTGGGTAAAGGTTTCTTTCTGCTCACATCGCAGCAATTTTAAAACCCAGGTAATCTGATTTCCTGGGTTTTTTCTGAGCCCGGTTGTTGGCAGGAGGCGGCCTTGTACACAGCTCAGCACGGCCTTACTCCGGCCCGGCAGTGAGAATGGGGGGCAGAGCCCCGGGCTTGGGCGTGCCGCAGCCGTCCGCCCGCTCGGCCCGGCCCTGGGCTCTGCAGCCGCCTGTGCCTTCAGCCGCAGGACCCCGCACGTGGGGTTGTCCTGGCGAGGCCCGTGGGGATGCACAGGCAGGACCCAGGCCTGCCCGTGGGGGCACACGGCCGCTTGGAGGGTTTCGCTGTGCAGGACAGTCCTGTTTCAATGCCCACAGAGCAGTTCTCCCGGCCCTCGAAGTTGTGGGAGCGCTGGGTCTGGGAAGAACGCACTGCCGTTGGGTCACTCAGGCGCCACACGGCTCAGCTCCATACCCGTGGCCGCGCCCTTGCTGTGCGCCTGCCACTGCGCTAGGTCCCGGGGCCGCTTCTGCTTTCACGGCGCCACTTCTCTGCGCCTGGCTTGTGCTGACTCGCATCACCCTCACAACGGCGCTGGGAGGTGGGGACCGCCGACACCCCATCTCACAGAGGAGGAGGCAGTCCGGGCGGGCGCCGCTATTGCCTGGGAGCCCCTGCCTCGCGGGAGCTCGCTAGAGAGTGGACAGCAGTCTCTTTGTCCCTCGGCATGTCATGAGGGACATTTTATTGGTTTTCCCATTTCATTTATTTATTTTTGAAAAGATAATTCCCATAGTTCAAGATTTCCAGAGGTACAGAGGAAAGTGACCATCCCACAGAGTCCCCAAGGCACCCCGTGTCCCCCCAGATAGAGCCAGGGTTCCCTGTTGTTTGTACACCTTTCCAGAAATTCTAAGCACATGTGACCAATACATACAGCTTGCTTTAAAGAAAATATTCTTAACATGTCACATAGATTGGCCATGTTGTTGCTCGCAGAATTCCTTATCCTTTCTTAACGCAGCGTGGGCTTCTTTGGATGCGTGGACCGTCGCTTCTCGATCCAGGCTGGCTTTTCCCGGTCATCGGCTTTTGCAGACACAGCAACAATAAATAACTTCATTTACATTTTTTTTCATTTCTGTAGAATAATTCCTACAAGTGGAATTCTTGATCCAAAATCATATGTTAAAAATTATCATGTAAGATCCACTTACAGGTTGTTTATAAAAAAAGCACACTTTATACCTAAAGACATAAACTATATGCATGAAAGTAAAAGGTTGGAAAAAAGATAGGCTGTGTAAACACCAGGCATAAGGAAGCGTTGTAGCTTTACTAACATCAGATAAAGTCAGTTTCCAGGCGAGTGGTGTTGCCCGAGTTTGAGCGACGCGCCGTGACGACAAGGGTGGCCCAGCGGACGTGGAGTCCTGCCGGTGTGCATCTGCGCCTGGGACCCCACGCCGCCCCCAGGTTTGGCGATTCCCCAGGAGAGCTCAGCAGAGTCACCCTCACAGGAAAGACTCCCTGCAGCGAAAGGACACGGAGCAAGATCAGCCGAGGGAAAGGTGTTGGGGGGAGGTCTGGGGGAGGTGGGTGCGGTATCAAGGGCGCTCTGTGGGCTGGGCCCCACGGGTGCACTTAGTTGCCCAGCAACGCGTTGGGACAATACATGCGAAATGTTGCCAACCAAGGAAGCTCACGAGAGACTCAGCCCAGGGTCTCTAAAAAATACTCAGCGTTTTTGAGACTGGTCACATAGGCACCTATGTGTCTGCTTAGCATCTACCAAAAATCCGGATTCCTAGAGGCAAGCAGGTGTTCAGCATAAACCACTTTATGTAAACAGTTCAGCTTAGCGAGCCAGGCGTATCAGTGAGGGTGGTGGGAACCTGCCCAGATTCCAGCCAAGGGCCAGCCTGGGAGCCAGCCCTCTGAAATGTGGCAGGACCGCGGTGATAGCTTTTGTGCACAACACCCAGTAGGAGAGCTTCCAAATATGTGAAGTAAAGTTGTGGAGAAGTAAAGAGAACTACACTCAGATCAGCATCGTAACTGGAGACTCCAGGATCTCCTCTGTCAAAAAAAAAAAAAAAAAAGTCACAAGGATTTGGAAGATCTGAACAACACCATCAGCCACCTCGACCTAACTGTCGTCTCTGAAGCGCTGACCCAACAAACAGAAGACCCATTCTTCCCAAGTGTGTGTGGAATTCAGCGAGATGGACCATATGCTGGGCCATGAAAGTAAATCTCAGTAGATTTAAAAGGATTGAAATGATAAAGAATGTGTTCACTGACTAATATGCTATTAAATTAGAAATCATAACAAGATAGCTAGACAATCTTCAGACAGTAGGAAATAAACACTGCTCTCTAACCCATCAGTCAAAGAAATATTTATAGATAAGTTATAAAATAATCTGAACTGAGTAATGGAAGAGCATATCCAAATATAGGGGATGCAGCCAATGCAGTCCTTTGAGGGAAACATGTAGCTTTATATGGCTAATTGAAAAAAAGGTATGAAGTCAACGACCTTTGCTTTTTCCTTAAGAATCTAGATAAAAATAACAAATGAAACGCCAAGAAAGTAGATAGAGTAGTAAATATATAAGCAGAAATTAATGAAGTAAAGGACAAGTAACACACCAGTCACAAATGGACTAAAAACCAAAGCAGAGCCTCACTGCCATGTGCGGCTCTGGAAAAGGACGTGTCTTTACAGCCTTGGGTCGCTGTGTCTGTGTTTGTAGCCGTGACTTCTCAGTCCTCAGAGATCTGTGTTTCCTTTGCTAATTCCATCCCAAGGGAACCCTGGCAATTTGAGGGTTTAAAATTTGTGGTTTATCAGCAAACTTTCATTTGGTTGTATGTGATAAAATACCCATACAAAAGAGCGTAAGGTAGCAGTAACTGATTAACTCGCACAACAGACAAACTCATAGTTACTGTAAGCTTCGCGTGTGGCTTGATCCAGGTCTCTCGATGTCACCTGGACCTCTCCCTTGGGCCCACGCGCTGTCAGAGGCACCTGTGTCTGCAGCCCTGGCCTCTGTGTCTCCTTGGCTCTGGGTGAGTCCTGAGCCTGAGTTTGCTCCCAGGGACCTCTGTGTTCCGAGAGGTAGTTCCTGGGAAGGAAATCGATCCCTAAACAGGACTGGAGGCTGCGTGGCCAGTTTTACCGGCATGGTTGCCAGCGCTTGCGCGGTGGCTCGTGGCCCTGAGAAGCCCTCAGGGCGGGTCTCTTCTGTCTCCTAGGGAGTGCTGGAGGTGCTGGCGGAGGTGCGGTGCCATCTTCGCGTGTCTCTCTTCGATGTCACCTACCGACACTTCTTCGGGAGGACATGGAAGTCCACAGCGAGGCCCGTGGAGCCACCCTCCAGGCAGCCGTCTAGGGTTGTCTTCAACGAGGTGGGTGGATCACAGGTGTGCGGGGCCCTGGGGGGCAGGGGGCGCCGACCTGGGGACATGGACAGTGCATGTGGAGGCCACGGAGCCGCAGAGCCAGCAGCACGTCGCTGGTCTTGGGACAGGCAGGCGTTTCCAGACAAGGCCTTGTGGGGCCGCCAAGTGTCCTAAACACACGAGTGCACCGCTCTGGTTGGAGCAGTGGGGGTGGGGCAGGCACCTGGGGTCTTGTCACCTTCAAGGAACCTTGGGCAGCTTGGAGCGAAGTTAGGAAATTATTGATCTCATTTGATTACCCGTTTTTCCTCCGGTGTCCCTGCCCCCTCCTCCTTCCCATTCTTTCTGCCTGTGTAGGAGCAATTTTAAAACCCAGGTAGTCTGATTTCCTGTTTATTTCAGAGCCAGGCTGTTTCCGAGAGGTGGCTTTGGGCACAGCTCAGCGCGGCCTGCTTTTGGCCTGGCAGGGAGAACGGTGGGCAGAGTCGGATGCAGCGCAGCCCTGTGCCCACTCGGCCCTGGCTCTGGGCTCCGCGTCCGCCTGCGCCTTCAGCTGGTGGGGGCCTTCCTTATAAGAGGAGCAAAGTGAGACTTGGAAGTACAGAGAGTTGCCCAGGTAGCAGGTGGCAGAGCCTGGCCTCGGACCCATGCCCTCTGCCCCCAGGCGGGGTGGTTGCGTGGACATTGTTGATGTGTGACTTGGCACATGTGGCGCTGTGCCCGGCCGCCCCGTAGGTGGGTGCCCTCTGTCCCGTTCAGCTGCATCCCGCCCGCAGCCTTGATTCAGGGCCTGCCGTGCACAGGCTGTAGCGCTGATGGAGGGCAGGGTGCGTGGGGTACTCACCGCCCAGGACTTGTGTTCTGCTGGGGTGACACTCAGCAGCAGGCAACAGAGGATGGGCAGGTGTGACAAGTCCTTGGAAGGAGGCCAGCGTGTTGCTGTTTTGGAGGGAAGACCTGCTCAGCAAGGTGACGTGGGAGGGCCCTTCTGTGGAGCTGACATCTAAGCCGGGGCGGGGGCGGGGGGCAGCGGCGGGTGTGTGCGGGGGAGCCCAGGGGTTGAGATGGGCTTCCCGACGCAGCGGGTCTGTGGGTGACGGTCACGGGTACTGGGAGGGCCATGCTGTACTGATTTGATCTTTCTTGTGTACACAGTGAGGCCCCTGGAAAGCTGCTATTGTGACAGTTAGTCAGTGACTAATGAAGGTGGCGGTGAACCTGGCTGTCCTTGGACGTCACTGTGCTTAACCACAGCCTGAGGCGCCTCTTTCCGGGCCCAGCTGTGAAGTCGGGGCTGGCCGAGCACATGCTGAATCACTGGGGGTTAGGGCTGCGTGGTGGGCTGGTCGGTGCTGGCAGCTGCCCTGATGTGGCAGGCAGGAGCCGGAGGTCACGTGTGTGTCCAGGGGAGGGCCCACGTGAGTGTGGTCACGTGTGTGTCCAGGGGACCGACAGTGTGTCTGATATTAAGGTCTAACAGCTTGTGCAAATGCCTCTTAAAGGTCTTTCTGCTCCATCGTGCCCGAGAGAGGTTCGTGCTGTGAATCTTGTGTGTGATCGCGGGCAGCTCCTTGGTGATGTCTCAGCACGGGAAGGTGTCGCCCACGCTTGCCTGGGACAGGAAGTGGTTTGTTGGCCGCAGCTGTGGTCCTAATGTTGCTGGTAACCTGGTCTGGGTTCAGCTTCTGCTGCCTTAGGGGGGCCTCCTGGGGCCGGCTGTCGGGGTGTCTCTTTCCTGTGTGCACGGTGAGGCCCAGGGAAGCCTGGCACCATGACAGCTTGCAGTGGCTAAGGTGGCAGTGACACCGCTGTCCTCTCCTGGGGGGTCCCACGGGCCAGGCCTTGGCTCACAGCACATTTATGTCATTTTGTCCCCAGCACCGTCCACTGCAGGTCGGCATTGTGTCCCCTCCTTAAAGAGCAACCCAGCAGGTCACAAGGCCAGGAGTGTGTGCAGGCAGGGGGACCAGCGGCCGGCTCCACAGCCTGCGCGTTGACCGCAGCGATTGTCCCGTTGCCTCCTAACCCCGTGTGTCTGTGTGACAGAGGGCCGCCTGTGTCACGGGACAGGGCTGTGCTCTGAAATCAGCAGGGGGATGCTTTGCAGTTGCTGAGGTTCTGCTATGAGTCCTCCCTGTGTCTTCCCCTTAGTCTTAGGGTTGCCAAGGTGGAGGACGCAGCCCGGTCGGTACGTGGGGGGTGAGCAGAGCGGCTCTGGTCAGCGGGAGGCTCAGAGAAAGCCGCTCCCCAGCTGCTGTGCCCTCGGCGAGCAGCAGGGGCCGCTGATGCGCCGGCAACGAGCCCAGCCTGCTGGGCCGCATCCTGTGCGCCCAGCCCTTCCTCTCCTCTCCTTGACGTTCAGGATACCAAAAAACAGGTTTTGTTCACGTTCACGTAGCTCCTGAGAAGCCCCCTTTGCTGCGTGTGCATGTGAACGTTTGCACAGTGGGGCAGCTGTCCTTGGTGGTGCTGATAGGCCGGGGGCTGCTCACCTGGCTGTGTCATCTGGGGGTGCTCTGCCTGCCCCCCGCATGGGAAGAGGGAGGATTTGGACGTTTGGTGGAGATTGCTTTCTGATTTCACTGAGAGCCTGTGTATTTCTGACCTGATCAGTCAGCTTGGGGTGGTCTGACCGGAGGTCGCCGCTGCTGGCAGCCGGGGCCAAAGCGTGGGTTCACCAGCCCCCTGCTGTGCGCTGGCTTTTATTCAGTTGTCAGTGTATTGATGAGACTCAGCCCTGGAGAAAGGCGCTGTTGCTGTTTCGTTACTTTGAAAAGAGAGCCTTGCCTGACGCGAGCTGGGAGTCCCTCAGCGATCGCGCTCTGCTGGCGCGGCTCTGCCCCGGGGCCCAGCCGGCCGCCCCGGGCCCCTCTCAGTCCAGAGCTGACACTGGGGCTCTCCTGCCCTTCATCCTGCCGAGATGGCTCGTAAGTGCTCCGGCCTCTCAGGAAGTGTCTTCTAAAAAAAACCCAAGAGGCCAGAGTACTGTGCAGTTTCTATGTTTTCTTTCTGAGACAGACATAGTTCTCCCCTAAATTCTTTCCCTAACTTACCACGCTCAGCCTTTCGGTGACAGGCTCATTTTTCCTGCTTCGTTTTATGAGGGTGACTGGGCGGGAGTCCGCGGGGCTGTCCACGGACGGACAGCCCCGACCCGGACCAGGGGTCCCCCCCCCCAGGCCCGCTGCAGCCTGGTGTTGCTACCGTCACAGGCAGATCCGCTGCCCTCCTCAGACACAGGTGACTGGCTGCTTCCACCGTCCATAAGCCCTGCCAAGAGACCCTGATTCAAATGTCCTCCCTCGTCAACGAGAGCCACGTCATTTCCCCTTAAAAGAGGGGCCCTAGGGAGTGTCAGGGTGAGCCCATGACACTCCAGGGAGCCGTCCAGCTGCCTGGAGCCGCCTGCCCTCCCTACGGGCCGTGCCGCCTGTGCTGCCCTCGGCGCGGCCACCGCAAGGGCGGGAGGCCAGCTCGTTTCTGGGAGTGCGGACTCTTCGGAGAGAGGGCAGTGTGACTGTCCGGCCCCTCTGAGGACGGCCTCTTTCCTCTCAGGCTCGTGGAAGCCGCTCCCGGGGACTCCAAGCCAGAAAAAGGGGGGGATAGATGGTTCTAGAGGGGAGAAGTGACGGACGTCTCTCTGTGACATGGCCCAGTGCTGGGCTTAGTTGTGCGGGGCAGCATAGAGGTTGGAATCTGCCCGCTCATGTCGGGGCGTCCGTGCCAGCGCCCGGGGAGGCCTCCCTTCGGCCTGGGATCGACCGGTTCGCTGGCCGACTTCGCAGAGTCAGCCAGGGACTTGCTCCTGCGGCCGGAGCGGGGCTGGGTCGGCCTCTGCTGGGGGACATGCTCCAAGGTGGACGTGGGCTGGGGTCCCGCTCTGTCACTCGTCCTGGGGTTCCAGGGCACACATTCAACCTCTTGACTCTGGGCCGGCCCGTCTGTGCAGGAGAGATGACAGCATGTCCCCAGGGGCACGTGAGTATCAGGTGCTCTGCTGTCCCCACACAGGCACCCGGCGGCCTTCGCCCAGCAAGCGTCGGTGGGCGGCGGCGGGCCGGGCTCTGCCGAGGAGCCGGCCATGCCGGGTGGGGGAGGTGGCGTGGTGTCCCTTCAGCCCGGGCTGTGGTTGCCCCGTCACTCTAGGCCAGGGTCACCGCGCCCCTGGGTCACGGACGTCTTGGGCCTGGTGGCTCTCTAGGTGGGGCCGTCTGCACAGCCGTGCTGCTTGGCGTGGACGAGGGCGAGCTCCACCCAGAGGGGCGGATGCTCTGGCTTTGGGATGAGGGTTTTGCGTTTCCCAGAGGAGAGCGCACCTTGCTGGGCCTTGGCCTCAGGGTGGGGCGTGTGGCAGCGGAGCCCTCGGGGTGCACGTGGAGGCTGGGTGGGCAGATGGAAGCCGCGGGGAGCGCCTGTGAGTCGCCTGCCCTCCTGGCGATGCTCTGCTGCAGGCTCCTGGGAAATGCGCGGGGGAGGCGCGGCTCCGAGCCGGCCCCCTCTCCCCGGCCCTCTCGCCGGCTGTGCCTTCTGTGGGGCTGGAGGGCGGAGTGTCCCTGGGTGGCCTGGGCACCCCCTGCCGCCTGCCGCCACAGGCCCCTTCAGGTCCGTCTGGGCGTGGAAAACGGCAGCGTGACGCCAAGGCAAACGGTTTCTGTATGAAGACGAGGCGGCACGACAGGAACACTACAGTGATTTATTAATCCGTGTGCCCTGTCGGGGCGGAGACTCATCACGTGTGGTTGCGTGTGGTGCGATGTGGGCCGAGTCGGGGCCCCACTCTCCTTAGAGGCTGCTCTCGCAGATAACTTGATGGGCTTGACTCAAACTTTTAATCACATCCCGTCAGTTGATGGATAGGACTTGCCTCTCACGGCGTACGGCAGGGCGTTAATGAACTGTCCTCAGACTGAAGGGCTTGTGTGCAGGTTTCGCTCCCCTGGCGCGGTGGGGGTTCTGGCTCAGCCCCATGGGTGCTGTAAGGCGGGCGGGGGCCTGGGCACCAGGTGCGCCTCCTTAGGGCGCTCCGGCGGGTGGCGGGGGCGGACGGGGGCTGCCTTGCTCTTTCCTCCCCAGGCAGCTGTTACCCCCACGGAGCCTCCGAGTGGCCAGTCCTGAGCAGGGTTTGCGCTTTCACCTCCCTAGCCTAGCCTTGCCTTGACCTTGGGCCTTCTGGGCGCTGGATCGCATTTCCTGGGGTCCTTGGGAATTCTTTCACACAGTGCTGTTCCCAGCCTGGAGGGGAAGCGATGCTTGGGAAAGATGTCCAACCTGACCGCCCCGGGCGGCACCCCGTGACCTCGTGTCTTCTTTTCCCCACGCTAAGCTTCCAGTGGCCGCCCTCCTGCTGAGAGCGGAGACCCTGGAGCCAGGCCTGCGGCTCTGCTCTGCTCGTCTTCTCTCAGAGTCATTGCTTTCCGCGCTGGGTGAGAGGGAGAGGCAAGAGCCGTGAGTGGCACTGGGGACCGCCGCAGAAGCTGGCCCCCGCCTGCGGGCCGGGCGCCTTCGCGGGGACCTCCAGCAATGGCGCTGTGGGGCCCCGCCTCCCAGTTGGACGTGCCCGTCCCACTGCGGAGAAGGGGTGGCGGGTCGCAGTGCGCCGAAGTGCGAGGACGGGCACAGGCGCGGGCGTGGAAGGGGAGGGGCGACAGGCTCGACTGTCCAGTGGGGCTTTGAAACCAGTTCCTGAGGCTTGGAGACAGAGACATAATTCTCTCTTGGTCCAGCCACCTGTCAGCTGTAAGTGGTCATTATTTCATCATTTTGCAATAAAAGATAATAGAATAACGATTTATACCTCATGGCTGATGTTTTAATGTGTCTCTCTGTTATCCTGGGCTGACAGTCTGTGATTACAGTAAACGTTTCCTGGGTGTCACCGTGCTAATGACTCGTTAACAGGGGATTAGTCCGATTTAAATCACCCGCAGAGCCCCGCCCGGGCCCGCCTCGCCTCTTTCTGCCTCCTGGGGGCGGTCTCTGCATGCAGCTGGTGACCCCAGATGCCGCTGGTGCGGGGGACACAGAGCCCAGGGCCACAGCCGCGCTCCCTTGACGCTTGTTCCCTGCAGATTCACAAACCTCCGTCTCTCTCTTCTGCGTCTGTGACATTTTTAGTTTTAAATAAAATCAACTGTGGTGGGTTTCACATGGTAGAGAGGAAACTTGCCGACGGAGCAGAGGCAGCGGCTGGACTTGCCGGCGCCCTCGCCCGCTCGGCCCCGGGAGCCAGAGCTGGAGGCCGCCCTGTGTCTGCGTGGCTGGGAGCGCAGAGGTTCTGTGGGGACCCTGTTAGAGGCCATCTGAATACCGTCTGCTTGGCGTAGGTCCCAACAGTCCTGTAAGAAAAAAATGACCTCAACGCGATTTTTGTTGTAAAAAGACGTTAGTTGGTCTCTGAACTGGAGGTAATTATATAGCGCCTCAAGAAATCTAAGGATCCTGCTCAAACAAGGCTGGTTCAGATGCAGTTCTGTAACAGTTCTGCCTAAAACGGCTTGGAGTCGGTGTTGGCAGGCTGTGTTTGAAGTTTTGGACAGCGAGCATCAACGTCGGATGGCTCAGGAGGCGTGTTTGCAGGGACCTGATCCGTCTTCTCTGACATCGCCGGGCCCTGGCGGTGGTACGGCGTGCGCCCGCCCCCACCCCGCTCCGTGGCCTCTTCCTTCTCTGCAGGGCCTGGCCCCTGCCGGCACTTTCTGTGGACGGGAAGTTCCCAGAGCTGAGGCCCACGGCCCGAGGCCCCTGGGGCGAGAGGCGTGACTCTGGGGTGGTGCTTTATTGCACTTGTTGTGTCATCTCTGGGGCCTTGGAAGGGATGTGACGTGCACCTGGCCGTGTGTGGCACTTACGTGGCGACGGCCCGGGGCGGCGGGAGCACAGCCGTGGGCGTCCTCTGCGCCCCGCTCCGCAGGCCGACGTCGGGTCCCTCACACAGCTTCTGTCTCTGTTCTGCAGCCCTTGTATTTCCACACGTCCTTGAACCACCCGAACATCGTGGCGGTGGTGGAAGCCGTGGCCGAAGGCAGGAAGCGGGATGGGACCCTCCAGGCTCTGTCGTGCGGGTTTGGAATCCTTCGGCTCTTCAGCAGCAAGCCAGAGTCCCCCACGTCTGCCTCCCAGGACAAACGGTGCTGCCTCGCGCTCTCCGTCTGCGGGCTTCCCCGGGGTTTTCTGTGCTGATTGTTGGGCTGCCCCGGACAGCTTTATCCTGGTCGGCACGTGCTGTGCGTTCGTAGCCGAGCACCGGGGATGTTTTTGCTTTATAACCCTCATGCTCTCCTTCCCAGGGGAGCAGCTGACGTTCAGGAGAGAGACTGAAGCCGGAGGCGAGTGCTGACGTGTTGACCGTCTTGTTTTGCAGGCTGAGGCTGTATCACGGCACCCCCAGAGCTCTGCTGCACCCGCTGCTGCAGGACCCCATAGAGCGTAAGAGACCGGCCCGGCCGTCTTTGGACTTCCCGAGCGCTGTCTGCTTCCAGTCTGTGCTTGAGCTTCCTCAGCGGGACCGCCGGGCGAGCTGTGCCGTGGGCTCGGGCGTCCGACGGAATTGGAAGACCGGCCCGGCAGCGGGGCACTGCTCTGTGAGGGTGGCCACGGGACAGGCGTGGCCTCGCGGGAGCTGCCTGGTGGGAGGGCAGGTGTCCTCCTTGCCTCCAGGGCGACAGCCTTGTCCCCCAGATGGAGTAGTTACTGTCCAGCACTGCCACCGGCTGCCATAGGAAGCCACTGACGGTGAAATCCATTGGTTTTCTCCGACACAGGGGGGCCCGCAGCTGTGCCTGACTGAAGAGCCTTCTGTGGGGACACCAGCCACGTTGTGGAAGTGCTGGGCTCCTGTCTTCTGGAGGCCCAGCGGCCGGTGCCAGCTGGGAGGGACGTGTGGCCCCTCTGGCTGTGGCCACATGGAGGACGGGCGGGAGGGCACGTCTGAGGGAGTAGGCGTGGGCCACCGGCCACGTCAGAGCCGGGCGAGCTCTGTGCCGGCTGCTGGGAGGGTGGACGGGCCGGCAGGTCTGTTTGGGAGTGTGGCCTTCTGGCTCTTTGAGATGTTGCCTGGATTCCGTGACGGCAGTTTTGTTTGCCAGGAGCCTGTGCGAAAGAGTCAGACCAAGCCTATCCCCTCCGCTTCCTGCTGAATTTTGAAACAAACTTAATTTTATTGCTAAAGATTGCCTTCGAGGTTATTTCTCCATTGACCCGAATTATCACTTGCCGGTGTTCTCTCTCCTGGGGCAGCCCTAGAGCCAGGGCCCTTTACGTGGTGCACAGGCCGCGGTGGTGCGGCGTCCGTGGTTCCGGGACTGCTGGGCTGCCCGTGGGGGAGCCGCCACTGCGCAGGGGAGCCCGGGAGGGACCGGCCACGGGCTGTGAGCGCGTCTCCTCAGTTGTCATTTCCAGGAATTCACGGTGTTTTCTTGAATGGGTAGTACAGTCACAGGGTTCAGAATTCAGAAAGCACAGAAAGGTATAGAAAGGTTCAGCGTGAGGTCATTCCCTTCAGCTGCACCCAGGTGACCTCGTGGAGTTCCGCGTATCCTTTCCGGGTCTTTTGACGCCGACAGGCATGTCCCCAGTCTTCCTTTTGCCCTCCTTTCACTCGTGGCCCTGGCCCTTGTTCTTCCTCCAGTGGCGGCTTGTCTTGGAGAACCCGTCCTGCCAGGGCACAGAGAGCCCTCGCCCCCCTCACGGCTGTGCGGCGTGGGCGGGATGGCTGGGCACCACGGGCTCGGGCCCGCAGCGGACACCTGGGCGGCCCCGGAGAACGAGGGCTGAGGCCGGGCTGCCCTGCGCAGGCGTGCGAGCGGGCCTGCAGGGTGGGTTCCTGCCCGTGGAGTCGCGGGGTCCCAGGGCTGCGCACTCGCAGTTCTGTGGCGTTTCCCCCATCTGCCCTCCACAGAGGTCGTCGGGAAGTGCTTAGGGGGCATTTAACATTTTAGAGTGAGCAGAGCCTGTGTTTGGAATGGTTAGGCAATAACGATACAGTTTTCAGTAATTTCTTTTTCTGATGAACGCAGTAGGTTGCCTTTAGCTCTTATGAGTCACATAGCATGTGTCAGGAGGTGGTGAGGCCCCTGTCAGTGGAGGAAATCAAGCCCAAGTACGATCGACCACTTAGTGGGAATGCCAGTGGCCCCTCTCAACCCCAAGGCCCTGTGATTCTGGGGTGTACCCCTCCCTGGCCCCGGTCCTGCCGGCCGAACTGCTTCCCATTCTTCCTGCTCCCAGCGCACGGGGCCTGAGCTGCTCCAGGCCTCTCCCTCGGGGACCTGCCTCTCCTCCCGTTTTTCCCAGCGCCTCACCAGAACTTTTCTGGGGTTTGGACCCCATCCTCCACGTGTGAGGAAGATCGATGGGCTGTGCCTTAACCCTCACCCCAGAAGAGCGGACGGCCCTTGGGGACAGGGCTTTGTCTTGGAGGCCCTGCCGTTTTGTGGGGCTCCGGGGACACCAGTGCCAAGGCCGAGGGGGAGGCCCTGGCGAGTGGCGTGTGGGAGGGCTTCCCGCTCTGTGGAAGCCTGAGCCAGGGAGGGCTCATTCCGTTGCCTTAAAAACAAGCATCTCTCTTGCTGCAGTTTTACCAGAGAAAATTACCAGAGATCCCCCCCTCATTTTTTTGTTGACCTAACAGAGTCATTCCTCTGTCCCCCTAGAAAAATACCTTTCCTGTCTGTGGTGTTCCTTTCTGTCCGAGGTTCTCCGTTGATCGGCTGATTTGACGGAAGTGCCTTTGGCTTCGGCCGTCACAGAGGTGTTCTCTTCCCCAGAAAACAAGCACCTGACGGTGATCGAGAACTGCGGCCTGCAGTGCACCCTGCGGCCACACCCGGCCCTGGAGCCCGCCTTCCACCTCCTGCCTGAGAACCTTCTGGTGTCTGGGCTGCAGCACATACCTGGCCTCCTTCCTGCTCCCGGGGACGCGGGTAAGGGCTGCTCTGTTCTCGCCGCTTGGTAGTTCACGGAGGCAGGACTGGGGCTCTGTCAGGCGGGCGAGTCCCGGCCGGGGGAGGCGGCACCTCTGGGCAGCGAGCCTGGCGGGGGAGGGGGAGTGGGCGGGGGCGGGGGGGGGCGAGGGCGGCGGCGCCATCGCTGCCTGCAGTCCTCCCTGAACGGCCTCGCCTCACCCACGTCAGCTCTGTGTTCTTTCCTCAGGAAGTGCTTTCGTAAGAAGAGTAGGAAAGCCATGACGCCTGACCAGGCCTTCACCATCAGTGGCTTGGTTATTAGTTTTTAATTGTGGTAAATAGACATGAGATAAAAGTTCCCGTCTTCATTGACCGTTTGTAGGTGGAGAGTCCAGGGCCCTTCAGTGCATTCACACTGTTGTACAGCCACCCCCCCCCCCCCGTCCCCTTCAGAACTTTTCCACCTTCCCGAACCGAAACTCTGTCCCCAGTGAACACTCGCCGCCCCCGCCCCCACCAGCCCCCGGCTCGCCCCGTTCTCTCTCCGTCTCCGTCGGTCAGGCCCTCTGGGAGCTTCATGTGAGTGGGATCTTGTAGTATCTGTCCTTCTGTGACTGGCTTATTTCACTTGGCACAATGTTCGCAAGATTCCTCCTTGTGTCCAAATCGCCTTTCTTTTTAAGGCTGAATAAGATTCCGCTCTGTGGACGGACTGCCTTCTGTTCATCTGTTCACCGGTTCACCTGTCCGCAGACACTCGGGTTTCCACCTTTGACTGCTGTGAACGGAGCTGCACTGAACACGGTTGTGCAGTGCTTGGTTATGGGAAAATGAGCTTTGCGTGCCAGGCCCTGGGCTCTGCCCTGTGGTTTAGCAGTCGGTCCCCCGGTGGTGGGGCGGGTCAGCCGCTCAGCTGGGCCCACGGCGGGGGCCTCGCGCTCTCCCTGGGCACCGTGGGAGGCTCCTGGCCTGGCCGTCTGGAGGGATCCAGGGGAAGGCCCACGCCAGCTCTCCCGTGCCCGGCTCGGCGGGCCCTCGTGCTCCGCTGGGGTGACTCCCACTTTGGTCCAGGAAGAGCAGGCGTGGCCTCAGGGGCGCAGTGGAGCGGGAAGGCTGCGATGTGCTGAGGGTTTGGCTCAGACCCCGAGGAAAAGGCCGCGGTTCCGCCCCAGCGCGGGGAGTGATCGTTTTCAGTAACGCTGCCCGTGTGCGGGCCCAGGCGCCCTGGGCCAGGCCAGGATGGAGACGTGGTTCATGCATCTCTGGCCCATGACCACTGCCAGGCTGCCGTCTGCTCTGTGCCCCAGAGAAGAGATGAGGACACATGAGAGGCGCTACATCAATCATGAACAGGGGCAAGTCTCAGGAGGGGCCCGAGGCTTGGGCTCGCTGTGGGTCACTGAGCTTAATCGCCGCCCTGAGCCCATGTAGGAAGTCTCGTTGCTTTGAGTGGTTTGCCTGTGTTCTCCTGAGAGAAAGGAGGGCCCGGGTTCTGGGGGACGGAAAGCCTCGTGGGCATCTGCTGGGGTTCAGTGGGAGACCATGAAGCCTGTGGCTCTGGGACTCAGCAGTGGCCGGTCCCTGGCCTGGGCCCTTCAGTCTGGGGGGCCCCGCGAGCCCCGCTGCGAGGTGTGCGGAGGTGAGCGCACCGGTGCACGCCTGCTCCCCGTCGGCCTGTGCCAGTCTCAGTTCTCCTGGGTGCTGGCCTTTGCACAGAACGGCCTCGGGGCCCGAGCTGTAGCCTCCCCTGGTGGTGTGCCGTGGGTGTCAGTGGGCTGCAGGTGAACTTCAGGATACCGAGGCTTAGCCCAGACCCGCCTCTAGGTCGTTGCTGGAAAGAAGCCCAGGCGCCCAGACGGCCTGTGTTCGGTTCTTCGTGTCTCGGGTCAGGCCGTGGAGTCCAGGGCCCACGCGACAGAGCGGAGTTTTGATTTAAAGCACGATTCCAGCTCTTTATCCTTAAAGCTCACGTTTTCAGGAGAGACCTGAGCCCTGTGGTCCCGCTGGTGCGGAACGGCCACGCGCAGAGGACACCCGGATGCAGGCGGCGCCCGGGACACGGCAGACACGTGCGGCGGTGTCTGTGGTCGTTCGGAACGAATGGAGGTGGAGCTGGAATGCGCTCTGGCGGGCGAGGGGTGGGCAGCCCGGCTGGCCACGGGCAGGAGCGGCACTTGCTCTCCTGGGGGGAACCAGGGGACGCTGCTTGCCGGCAGGTCCCCGGGTGACCTTCGAGAAGGCGCCCGCTGTGCGCAGTCCCCGCTCTGGGCGGAAGCCCTGCAGAGAGCGCCGCACGGCCTGGAGGCTCCGAGCCGTGTTCTGATGGCCTGGCATCTCTGTGGCGTCCTGCCCTGGACCCGGGGCTCTCGTGACTTCCTCTCGTTGCTGGGTGGTGGTTCACAGCCCTGGAAGGGCTGGGGCGGGACCGGAAGGCTCCCGGGCGAGCCACCTGCCGAGTTTGCAGAGGGTTTGGTTTTATTTCAGGGCTGCCCGGGGAGCCGGATGTTTGTTCGCTTGTGAAACGCCACAGCAGAGGAGGGTCCGGTTGTTTTTCATTGACATTTTCACTGGGGTTGTTGCGGTTCACTGCGGTCTTAGTGAGTGATGGGGAGAGGCCCCGTGCACCTTCGCCCAGCGTCCCCAGGCGGCAGAGCAGAACCGCACCAGGACCCCAGCGTCCGCACAGCCCGTGGGCCTTATTTGCGCCTCCTCCGTTCGACTCATGCTCACGTGTGTGGGGGTTGAGTTTGTAAGAGTGACTTTCAGCCCGGGAGTGACTAGAAACGCAGCGGTTAATTCAGGTCCTTCTGGCACCTCCTGTCACCCCCAGGAGGCAGACGGGCCTCTTTCCCTGAGCAGCTTCTCAGAGGGGAACCCAGACTTGTCCCAGTTTGTCAAATGCTGCTGGTTCCATTGTACCTTTTTCTTGCAATTTGGAAGCCCATCCTGCCTCCTCTTGGACAGCCTCTGCCTTGGACGGTGGGCCACCACATCGCCCCTTAGGTCATTGTCCTGTGTGGTGGCCCAGGAAGCCACCTGTGATATGGGAGTGAGCCTCCTGGCTGGGACCCCTCTGCTGTGCGTTCAGACCCTGGCCGGAGCGGCCCGAGGCTCTGGGCGCTGGCCCATAAATGCAAGCCAGAGGCCCTTTTCTGGGGCGGACCCAGGCCCCGAATGGAGTCTGGGGGAGCCAGGGAGGTGCTGGGGGGGTCCAGGCCCCTCCTCATAGCACCGATGGGCCCTGGGGGAAAGCAGAGGGTCTCATGGCCACCAGGGCACATTCCCAAGCCCCCGACGCCCACAGGAACGTCACAGGCAGGCAGAGCGCCCAAGTGCGGTCCCCGTCTGTCGGTGCGCTGTGAACCGCGAGCCCCTGGTGACAGCTCCGGTCCCATCAGTCGGACGCTTCGGGCGGCTTCTTCATCGTGAACGGAAGCTCTATCCCCCGTTAAACATGTGGTCCCCGTTTCTGCCCCCTCCAGCCCCTGGCGCCCACCGTCTCACTTGCTGTCTCTGAACTTGAGTCCTTTAAGCGCCTCATGTAAATGGGATCCTACAGCATTTGTCCGCTTGTGACAGGCTGTCACTCAGCATCATGTCCTCAAGGTCCACCCGTGTGGATTGCGCGCACGGATTTCCTTCCTCTCGGAGGCGGAGCGATGAGCCGTCCGAGGCACAGACGGACCACGTTTTGTCTCTCTGTCCGTTGGTCGTCCGTGATGGGCGCCCGGGCCGTTCCCACCGTCTGCCTGCGGCGGGTTGGTTCCGACTCCCCTGGGGGCCTGCTGCAAGCGCCTCTAAAAGCTCTGGGCGGAACACAAGCTTCCTCAGGGGCACCCAGCCCGGCGCATCCCTGCGATGGGGAGGTGGAGGAAGCCGTGGAGAGGGACCCAGGATAACCTGCGGCCACCGCCTGCCGGTGAACACGCACGCGGATGCGCGTGTTCGAATAGAATTGGCATCAAGGGGCAGTTTTACGTGTTTTTCTCCTCTCCACTCGCGCGGTTACTTTGTGATCATTAAATTACCTTTGACAACTTGATTTTTGTTCCCACTTTATGTGGATGAGCCGCTTACTTAAATGCTCCCATTTTTGAACATTTGGTTGTTTCTCACTTTTCTCTATTATGAATAATGTTCTGATGAATGCCTTGCTTATTTTGCTGAATAGGTTCAAAAAGTGGCATTCCTGGGGCAGAAGGCAGATGCGGACACTTTCGTTAAACCCTCACCTGAGGGTATGTTTACTGATTTTAGAGAGAGGAGGTGGGGGGCGGGGACATCCACCGGCTGCCTCCCGGGCACGCCCCCACCGAGGCTCGAGCCCTGGCCGGGCATGGAGCCCGCCGCCGCTTGGTGTCGGGGACAGTGCTCAACCGCCCGAGCCGCCCGGCCAGGGCTGGAGGCGGGTCTGTGCAGGGTCTCAATGCCCAGGAAGGCGAAGGCGCACCTGCCGTTGGCAGTCCCGACTCGGGGGCCTCTGGCCGGCAGCCCAGGGCGCGTCTCGCTGCAGTGTCACTGTCACTGAGTCTCGTGTCACTGTCACTGGGTCTCGTGTCACTTTCTGTCACAGAGTCTCCTGTCACTGTCACTGAGTCTCGTGTCACTAAGTCTCGTGTCACTGTCACAGAGTCTCCTGTCACTGTCACTGAGTCTCGTGTCACTAAGTCTCGTGTCACTGTCACTGAGTCTCGTGTCCCTGTCACTGGGTCTCGTGTCCCTGTCACCGAGTCTCCTGTCACAGTGTCTCGTGTCACTGTCACTGAGTCTCGTGTCACTGTCACTGAGTCTCGTGTCACTTTCTGTCACTGAGTCTCCTGTCACTGTCACTGAGTCTCGTGTCACTGTCACCGAGTCTCCTGTCACAGTGTCTCGTGTCACTGTCACTGAGTCTCGTGTCACTGTCACTGAGTCTCGTGTCACTTTCTGTCACTGAGTCGTCACTGTCACTGAGTCTCGTGTCACTTTCTGTCACCGAGTCTCCTGTCACTGTCACTGAGTCTCGTGTCACTGTTACCGAGTCTCCTGTCACTGAGTCTCGTGTCAGCTGTTCTTTTTAACCTTGGGGCTGGCTTTTCAAAGGGAAGACCGTGCACCTCAGTAGCTGAGTGGTCGTGAGAACCCTGGACGGGACAGAGAGGACCAGAGCAGGGCAGTCCTGGCGCCGGGGCGTGAGGCCCCCGCAGCGGGGTGTGTTTTCGGGAAGCGGCGGGCGGTGCCTGCTTCCTGCTGCCTCGGCCTCCGCCCCGGGGCCCGTGGACGCGTGGGCTCTCCCCGCATGGCCGAGGGCTCCACGCGCCTGCTCTGCTGGACACTGGCCTGGGTGCCGGGAGCCGGTGTCCCCTTCTGTGCGCAAGGAGCTCACGGCCAGGGACGCTTCTTGATCAGGATGGACAGGGACTCGTGGCCTGCGGTGCCAGCCCAGGCTGTGCTTTTGCCTTGCGTGCTCACGAGGACGCCGTGTGTTCCCAGGGGTCCCAGGCAGACGGGGTGAAGTGAGAGGCGGCGTCGCTGGCTGTGTGCTTGCTGGAGGAAGCGGGTGGTGGGGGGAGCCGAGCCGATGGAGCGGGCGGGCCTCGCGTCGTGCCGCCTGTGTTTGCCGACTGCCAGTTACCGCGCTGGTCCTGGAGGAGGCCCGGGGCGGGGTTCAGGCCTCAGATGGAAGCTGCGTGTGTTTAGTCAGGCTGGCGCCTGGGCTCACAATGAAGTGGGTTCTGGCCCCGTGTCCCATCCGTGTGGGTCCCGCGCCTCCTTCCCGCCCACAGGTCCCCTCACCACGGCCTAGAGCTCCGTGGATTGCCTGCCTATGCGCTCTTGTTGTTTCAGGTGACGCACTCCGGAAGCCCCGCCTGCAGAGGTCGGTCACGTGGTACTTGGACGATGTCTTCATCACGCTGTACCCTTCCCTTGAGAAATTCGAGGAGGAGCTCCTGGAACTCCTTACCAGCGACCACTTCCGGGAGGTACTGTCTCACGTCAGCAGGGGCGATGCCAGTGGCAGAGTGGAGCCTCTGATGCTGCCCGGGGTCGGGGGCTCAGGCCACCCACTGGTGACCTCGCCCTGTCTTTCCCCTCTTCGTGGAGGGAGAGGGACAACCTAGCCTGTTGTCTTAACTTTGCTGGTGATTAAGATGCTGTTATTTGGAGACATTAATTAACATCTTGGATAGATCTTGAACTATTCCCCATTTAATAAACGAGTCACCAAATGAGTGAAGGGAAATGTGTGAAATTGACATCTGCAAAGGACATTTCGAGGATATTTGGCTCCACCCAAGGAGCGGACTAGAAGCCCAGTCATTTTGCCCCATCAAAGCCGACTTCTGGGCAAGGCGTCCCCCAAATCTGTCAGCTGTCTGGTTCAGCCTGCTGTGTGAGCATATTGCTACCTGCCCTTCACCTGAGAGCCTGTGGGGAGCACCCTGGACATGGTGGGGTGCCTACGCTGTAGCCAGGGGTGACGCCTCGTGAATAGCGGGGCCTCTGAGCGCGGGCTCCCTGCCCGCTCGCCCTCTGTGCCGGAGTCCTCGGGCTTCGGGCCTCAGCATGGACCTGCCTGTGCCAGGGCCTCCCTCCCGCCGGGCCCCTGCCAGAGCGCCTGGCCTCCTCGCTGGCTTCCTGGCTGACCTGGCCCCCGCTGCAGCGTTCGCACCGGGGGCGGGGACGTGGCTCGACGTGGCTGGCTCAGCACCGTGCCTGGAGTGGGGGCAGGTGTTGGCATGCACCGGGTCTCTTGTTTCTCGGCCGTGAGCCTGGCTGAGCGCTGCGGTTGCTGGTGCCGTCCTGCAGTCCAGCAGTCCGCAGTTCCTAATCACGCACACGCACAAGCACACACACACGCACAGGTGCGGTGCCGTCCTGCGGTCCAGCAGTCCGCAGTTCCTAATCCCGCACACGCCGCCACGCACAGGTGCGGTGCTGTCCTGCAGTCCAGCAGTCCGCAGTTCCTAATCACGCACACGCACACGCACAGGTGCGGTGCCGTCCTGCGGTCCAGCAGTCCGCAGTTCCTAATCCCGCACACGCACAAGCACACACGCACGCACAGGTGCGGTGCCGTCCTGCGGTCCAGCAGTCCGCAGTTCCTAATCCCGCACACGCGCACGCACAGGTGCGGTGCCGTCCTGCAGTCCAGCAGTCCGCAGTTCCTAATCACGCACACGCACACGCACAGGTGCGGTGCCGTCCTGCGGTCCAGCAGTCCGCAGTTCCTAATCCCGCACACGCGCACGCACAGGTGCAGTGCCGTCCCTGCGGTCCAGCAGTCCGCAGTTCCTAATCCCGCACACGCGCACGCACAGGTGCGGTGCCGTCCTGCAGTCCAGCAGTCCGCAGTTCCTAATCACGCACACGCGCACGCACAGGTGCGGTGCCGTCCTGCGGTCCAGCAGTCCGCAGTTCCTAATCCCGCACACGCGCACGCACAGGTGCGGTGCCGTCCTGCGGTCCAGCAGTCCGCAGTTCCTAATCCCGTACACGCGCACGCACAGGTGCGGTGCCGTCCTGCGGTCCAGCAGTCCGCAGTTCCTAATCCCGCACACGCGCACGCACAGGTGCGGTGCCGTCCTGCGGTCCAGCAGTCCGCAGTTCCTAATCACGCACACGCACACGCACAGGTGCGGTGCCGTCCCTGCGGTCCAGCAGTCCGCAGTTCCTAATCCCGCACACGCGCACGCACAGGTGCGGTGCCGTCCTGCGGTCCAGCAGTCCGCAGTTCCTAATCCCGCACACGCGCACGCACAGGTGCGGTGCCGTCCTGCAGTCCAGCAGTCCGCAGTTCCTAATCCCGCACACGCGCACGCACAGGTGCGGTGCCGTCCTGCAGTCCAGCAGTCCGCAGTTCCTAATCACGCACACGCACACGCACAGGTGCGGTGCCGTCCTGCGGTCCAGCAGTCCGCAGTTCCTAATCCCGCACACGCGCACGCACAGGTGCGGTGCCGTCCTGCGGTCCAGCAGTCCGCAGTTCCTAATCCCGTACACGCGCACGCACAGGTGCGGTGCCGTCCTGCGGTCCAGCAGTCCGCAGTTCCTAATCCCGCACACGCGCACACACAGGTGCGGTGCCGTCCTGCGGTCCAGCAGTCCGCAGTTCCTAATCACGCACACGCGCACGCACAGGTGCGGTGCCGTCCTGCGGTCCAGCAGTCCGCAGTTCCTAATCCCGCACACGCACAAGCACACACGCACGCACAGGTGCGGTGCCGTCCTGCGGTCCAGCAGTCCGCAGTTCCTAATCCCGCACACGCACAAGCACACACGCACGCACAGGTGCGGTGCCGTCCTGCGGTCCAGCAGTCCGCAGTTCCTAATCCCGCACACGCCGCACACACAGGTGCGGTGCCGTCCTGCAGTCCAGCAGTCCGCAGTTCCTAATCCCGCACACGCACAGCCTGCTCAGCACAGGTGCGGTGCCGTCCTGCGGTCCAGCAGTCCGCAGTTCCTAATCCCGCACACGCGCACGCACAGGTGCGGTGCCGTCCTGCAGTCCAGCAGTCCGCAGTTCCTAATCCTGCACACGCACAGGTGCAGTGCCGTCCTTGAAACGGAGCTCTGTGTGACGGGGTCCCGCCTGGAACAGAAACCCTGCAGGGAGGGTTGAAGGGGCCTCTCACATTTTCTCGGTGTGGCCCCGCTGCTTCCTCCCTGCGCAGCGTGGGCTCTCTGAGGGTGGACGTGCTCCAAGAGCATCAGTGCTGAATTTTATGCATTCCTGTAAAATCACTTTGTCATGTGTTTGTACTGTCTTTGTGCTTTTGTTCCCGCTCAGTGGTGGACACTCAGCCTTCTCCACCGGCTTGTTCTCCTCACTGGAGGACTAAGGCTGCATGTGCATCCGCTCCGCGTGACGAATGGCAGAGAGGGTGCTGGGGGACTCGGGCGCTGTTTTGCTGTGGCCACAGCCCCCTAATTTAATGAACAGCGAGAGCTGGGAGGACCACCCTGGCTCATTTGTCAGTGTGCCTGTGCGTTTTTTCTTAAGATGAAACGCTTTCATATCCAGTGACCACTTTGGGGCAGATTCCATTTTTATCGGTTTGTGACTTACTGCCTGACTAGGCTGCCTCTTCTGCTGCTTACCTGCCCGCCCCGGGTCTGCAGTGCCTGAGTCCTGCGGGGGGTGGAGGCCGTGGGACCTGCTGGCCAGGCGCCTCTGCCAGCGCCGCCCTCCCCTGGGAAGGGGGGCAGGGGCTCCCGTGCCTCAGACCCCCAGTCCTGGGACAGGCGCCGAGGTCCCCAGCTGCTGGCTTGGTGCATCTTGGGAGAGGCAGCTCAACCTTGGAGACTTAGGGTGAGACTCTGGTGACTGGGCATCTGAGGGTGCCGTAGGGCGCATCGCCCTGAGAAGTCATGCTACCCTAGGAAACCCCAAACTGCCTAGCAAATGCCCTATAGCCATTTCTGACCGGCTGACTTATCTGTCCTTTGCTGGGACTCTTGCTCACGAAGCACCCTGCGATCTGGAAAGGGCTGCAGCTTCCGTCACGGCCTCTCCACTCCACTTGCCCCTCCCCTGGGAACCTGGCCGGTGAGCCCCTTTCACCTCTGCCCAGGCCTGACGCTGTCTGACATGTGCTCTTCCAGGCGGACGGCCCACTGGACGGCAGTGCTCTGGAGATTGCGGAGCGGCGTCTGTGTGTCGGCGTGCACAACGGCCTGGGCTTCGTGCACAGGCCACAGGTCATGGTCCTGGTGCCCGAGCGGGAGGTGGCCTTGACACGCTCTGCCAGCTTCAGCAGGAAAGTCGGCTCCTCTTCCAAGGCCAGGTGTGCGCCCAGGGTCCCGAACCCTGGTCCCCGGGATTAGGAGGAGTGAGTGGGCCTCCACGTGAGGGGAAGCTGCACGTGTGCGTGAGGCGTGCCCCAGCCACCCGGGGACCCTCCCCGGTGCCTGTGTTTCCTCTTGCCAAGTCGTGCCGTTGGGAGCAGACCTCGGTGGGGCTGCAGGTCTGCGCTGCCTTGCTTCCCGGGTGGGAACCAGAGGCGCCTCCCGAGGCTGCAGCCGCTGGCCCTGGGGCGGAGCCTCCCGGGAGACCCGGCCGTAGCATTCCCACCTCTCGGCACAGTGCTGGTGATTTGGAAGAAGTGTCCATTGTGGCAGCCAGAGGAGCTCAGAGGCATTGCCCGGGGAGGGCTTCCTGCGCCGGCGCGGCGACGCCGATGGTGGTGGGGCCTCAGGGCAGCGGGAGCCACCGCCCGACGGGCCCCTGCCTCGTGTTCTGGTTGCAGCTCCGGAAGCCAGGCGCTAGTTTTGAGAAGCCGCCTCCGACTGCCTGAGATGGTCCGTCACCCTGCGTTCGCCATCGTCTTCCAGCTGGAGTACGTGCTGAGCAGCCCGTCGGGCGTGGACGGCAACGTAAGATCTCCGTGCTGGGGGCGGGAGGGGGCCCTGCGGCTGCGCACCTCACCGGTCCCCATTCGCGTTCTCCCGCTGCAGCGGTGCGGCTGTGTCAGCGACCCCGTGGCGAGCGTGGGGCAGGTTCTAGAACACCGATCGTCCAGTGGTGACTTGGTCAGGCCCCTCTGTGTGCCGCGGGGCGGCCCGCTGACTGACGGCAGGGAGCCTGCAGGAGGCAGGCCTCCTGGTAGCAGCGACTCGTAATTATCGAGCTGGTAATTATTTTGAAAAATGAGGCTGTTTACTGCATTTTTCATGTGACATTAAGCGTGGTCAGGCTTGAATCTGCATCAGTGGTGAGTGGCTTCTCCCAACGATCTTTGCCCAGGCCTGTGTCATCGCTGAGAATTTGCAGCGTTCAGTGGGAAGAAACGCGACGGGCAGCCTTCGTGGATGCAGTCTTCGGAAAACCCAAATCGCGCTGTTCTTGAGATTTATTTTCCTATTTGAAACAGCAAATGTCAGTTTAACAAGTCAGTTAGAAATGGAGAAAAGGCCCCCGCGTTGCCTCCCGAGGCGGCGAGTTGGCTGGCGTCACTGTGCGGCCGATGGGAGAATGGAAGGGCCGCAGCCGTGGGGCGAGCCGGGAGGGGACGGGGTCAGGCCCACAGCCGCTGAGTGTTCCCGTTGGCTCTGGCAGCTGCAGACGGACCTCCCGACGTCTGCACCTGAAGTCGGCGTGATTCAGGGTCCAATTCAGGTGAACAAACCTGGAGGCGGGTGTTCTGTGGCCGAGCACACGGTCACGGTCGTTCTGATGATGCTCTGCTTTTCTCTATTAGCAGAGACATCAGGTGAAACAGAGCTGTGCCCGAATGCACCTGCCGCGCGGGGTGGGCACCCTGGGCTGGGCTCTGGGCCTTCACTGCAGGGACGGGCCCCTGGGCGGCGACAGGGGCCTGGGGGAGGAAGCGTGGGCACAGGCGCAGTGTCCCCAGTGTCATCCGGTGGGTTGGGGACATTGGACGGTGCCAGCCCCATGGGCGTGGGCCTGGTGCCCCAGTGGGGGGCTCCACACGGCTCTCCACTCATCACTTACAGGAGGATGATGTGCCCTCCAGAATGTTAATTGCAGTTTGCGTGCAATCGTAGATCAGTGCTGAAACTGGTGACACTCCGTTGTTTTGTAACTCCTCACGGGGACGTGCTCTCGGGCCGTGGCTGGTAGCAGCTCCTCAGTTCTTTTTGATTGGCGGTTTGTCTCAACGCAAACCTTGGGATTCCATTTTGCCGCCATCGGCATCCTTCCCTCCTGGCACCTGGGAAGGGATGTTCTAGTGCCTGGAGCGGTTTCCCGTAGATGACGTGCGTGTGGACCCGGTGCTGAAGGCTGGGTCGGGGTCCTGCTGTGACCGGCTGGGACGCCGGAGGAGAAAACAGTGCTGGCGCTGGCCTGGGCTGTCCTTCCTCCCCCCGCGGGCCGGAGTGATGGTGGGGACGCGACCCTGGGCTCCCGCGAGCTCGGGGCTGGCTGTGCGTTGCCTTCCTTTTAAAAAGCTTGACACGGCGGGCGTCCCACTCCAACCCCAGCAGCCGGAGAGGCGGAGGTGCCTCGTGGGGCGTCGGGACCCGCCCGGCTCGTTCTCTCGGTGCTCGCTCCCACCACCCACATGGACTGTTTTGAGGTCATGACTGCATCTGTTTTTAAAAAAGACTTTGCTTACTTTCTTTAGAGAGAGGGGAAGGGAGGGAGAAATAGAGGGAGGCATCAGTGTGTGAGAGATACATCGATCAGTTGCCTCCAGCTGGGGACCTGGCCCGCAACCCAGACACATGCCCTGACCGGGAATCGAACCCGCGACCCTTTCGTTCTCAGGCTGGCGCTCAACCCACTGAGCCACACCAGCCGGGGTGCACTAATTGCCTCTGTTTTGATTACTGTAACCATTTTGGCATGCACATTTTTTTTTTTTTAACTTTTTTGTTCTGGAACATTGCCAACGTTCAGGTAGAAAGAAGCGGCTGAAGAGCCCAGGGTCCCCATCAGCAAGCTCGGAAGTTGTCAGCTTGTGGCGGGCTGGGTCTCCGCCTGTCCTCTCCTTCCCCATTCCGCCAGGTTGTTAGAGCAAATCCCAGATGTCCTGTCACTGCCTGTCCAAAGGGCACGGGCTTAACACGCCCTGCCACACCACCCTCACACCTAGGAAATGAAGATTTCTCCGTCATCAAATATTCATCAGCCAGGGTGTACCTTTTTCCAGAGTTTTTCTTCATCAGAAATAGACAAGCCCCAGAAGTGTACTTTTCTTTGGAACCTGACCCCTGATCTCAGAGTTCTTCATGAGCGGGGCGCCGGGCTCTATGCCGTGACCGGCGCTCGGGCTGCCTTGCTGCGCGGCCCGGGCCAGAGAGCCAGCACGGCCCAGAGCAGGGCCCCCGGGCCGAGTGCTGTGTGGCTGCAGCTACTCGTCTCTCGGCGGCTCGTCTGGGTCACGAGAGGCTGCCTGGGCTGACGGCATATCCGGCGTGCGCCCAGCTGCCTCCGCCTTGGGGAGCCTGCCTGGCACTGCTGGGCGCTCTCTGTCTCCGTGATGTGACTCAGTAGCTCAGCCACGTGGGCTCATGTGGCATTTGTCCTTGCATGCCTGGCTTATCCCCCCGAGCGGTGGGCTCGGGGCCTCCGCGTTGCAGAGTCCCCTCCCTTTTTCATGCTGAGGGACGTCCGTCGCATGGACCTGCCGCATCTCACATGGCCCCTCACGTGGCCCCTCACATGGCCCCTCACGTGGCCTGCGGGCCCGTGCTGCCCAGGTTCGGCCCTGGAGCAGGGCTGCTGGAGGCGGGTGTGCAGGCATCTCCTGAGACCCTGCTTTGGCTTTTTTTGGTTTTACCCGGGGTGGGGTTTCTGGGGCATGTGGTGATTCCATCTGTAATTTTTTAAGAAAACGCCATACTGCTTTCCACAGTGGCTGCACTATTTCACATTCCGACCAACCGTGCACAAGCGTTTTAATTTCTCCACGTTCTCACCAACACTCATCATTTTGTTTGTTTGGGTTTTTGCTTTTTTTTTGATAGTTTTTTTTTTTTGGTTAGTCATCCTAATGGGTGAGAAGTATGTCTCACTGCAGTTTTGACGATTGATTAGTGATGTTGAATGTCTTTTCATATGCTCATTGGCCATGCCTAGAGCTTCTTCTGAGAAAGGCCCCTTTGGGTTCTTGCCTGTTTTTGAATGGGGTTGTTTGTTTTCTTGTGGTTGAGTTTAGGGGTTCTCCATATAGTCTGGATATTAGTCCTTTATCAGACATGGGATTTACAAACATCTTTTCCCACTCTGTTGCTCTTTTGATCTGTTGGAAATATCTCCTGATGCACAGATTTTAAACATTTTCATGAAGTCCAGTTTTTTCTTTTGTTTCATATGCCTTTGGTGTTATAGCCAAAAACTTCTTGCCAAATCGAATGTAATGAAGATTTTATCCAATGTTTTCTTTAAGAGTTTTATTGGTTTAAGCCTTACATTTAGGTTTTAATCGGCTGCGAGTTAATTTTTATATATGGCGATAGATAAGGCTCCAACCTCATTCTTTTGCACATGGATGCCCAGTTTTCCCAGTGTCATTTTTTGAAAAGACTCTGCTTCCGCCATTGATGGGCATCGTTCTTGTCAAGAATCACTTGAGGGTGCCTTGCTGGGCGCTCTCCCTATTCCCTTGGTCTATAGGCCTGCCTTTTAGCCGACACCGTGCAGTTTTGCTTACTGTAGCTTTGTACAAAGTTTTGAAATCAGGAAGTATGAGTCCTCCAGTTTCTTCTTTTTCAAGATTGTTTGGCTATATCATGGCTGGCCCTTGAGATTTCATATAAATTTTAGGATGGATTTTTTTTATTTCTGCAAAACACATCCCTGAGATTTTGATAGGGACCGCACTGAATCTGTAGATTGCTTTGGGTGGCATCGACCTTTCCCACAATGTGAAGCCTTGCAGTCCGTGAACAGGGATGTCCTCCTTCACTGTATGTCCTTTCATGCCTGTCGGCTGGGTCTGCAGTGGCCATTGCGTAAGTCCCCCTCCTCCGCGGCCACGCTGATTCTTCGGCACTGTCCTGAGTAGGGGCGGGAGAGCGGCCCCCCTGCCTTCCCGAGAGGAAGAGCTGGCCGTCTTCCGTGGAGCGTGATGTTTCTGTGGGCTTTTCGCGTTTGGCTTTTATTACATTGAAGCAGTTTTCTTCTAGTCCTAGTTATTGAGTGCTTTTCTTTTCTTTTCTTTTCTTTTTTTTAAATCATGAAACGGTGTTGAATTTTGTCAAATGCTTTTCTGCATCACTTGAGAAGACTATGTGGTTTTCTCCCTGCTTCGTTCTGTTGATGTGGCAAGTTACGTTGATTGGTTTTCATGCTGAACCATCCTTACATCCCAGGAACAAGTTCCTCTTGGCCATGGTGAGTAATCCCTTTAGATATGGGGCTGAATTCCGTTTGCTGGTATGTTGCTGAGGATTTTTGCATTTATGTTCATAAGGGATATTCTGCAGTTTATTTTCTTGTGGTATCTTTCTCTGGCTTTGGTGTCAGAGTTATGCCAGCCTTCTAGAGTTAGGAACTGTTCCCTCCCCCTCAACTTTTTGGGAGAAATTTTGGGAAGGATTGGTATTAGTTCTTTAAATGTTTGGTAGAATTAACCAGTGAAGCCCTAAGGTCCAAGACTATTTTTGGGGGAGATTTGATTACTGATTCAATCTCCTTACCAGTTAATCTGATCAGGTTTTCTATTTCTTTGTGATTTAGCCTTGGTAGGCATTGTGTTTCTAGGAATTTGTCCATTTTGTCTAGGTTATAGACTTAGTTGGAGAAATCTGCTGAGGATCTGATTGCGGATCCTTTATATGTGACATTTTACTTCTTTCTTGCTGCTTTCATGATTCTCTCTTTGTCTTTTGAAAGTTCGATTATAATGTGTCTTGGTGTGGGTCCCTTCAGATCCTTCTTACTTGGGGTTCTTTGATGTTTATATTCAAGTCTTTCCTCAGACGTAGAAAGCCTTGAGTCACTACTTGCTCGAATAGCCTCTCTGTTCCCTTCTCTGCCTCTCCTTCCGTCGGGACTCAGACGGCGGGCGCCTCGTCTCACTTGATGATGTCCCTTCGGGTCTGTTCATTTTTCTTTAATCGTCCCTGTTCCTCAGACTCAGTGTCGTATTTTGCCATGTATAATGCGAACCCACGTTTTTGGGCCAAACTTTCAGGAAAAAACCTTTTGTTTTAATTTTTAATTCAATTTTTAATTTGTTTATAGTTAGATACTCTTCTTTTTGTGTTATAAAGGAACTTTAACATTTATTTTTGAACATATGGTGTAAGAAATTTTATGTAACAAATTGTTACGAAACACAAGAACAGATACAAGGTACAAGAAATTTTAATTAATACTACCCATGTATAATGCACATCCTTATTTTTCCCTCAAAAATTTGGGCAAAAAAAGTACAGTATACATGGCAAAATATGGGAATTTCCATTGTTTCATCTTCAGGTTTGCTGACTCTTTCTCTGCTGTTGAACCCATTTTTTCACATGTTCTCTTGACTTTGTCCACCTCTTCCTTTAGTTCTCTGAGCATCTTTAAAGTGATTTAGAGACGTCAGACGTCTTGAGGGTGTTGTGTCCTGACCAAGAACAAGGGATGTCTTTCCATCGGTCCCATCTGTTAATGTGTCTCTCAGGAATGACTTTTAAAAATACTTTTAAAACATACATTTTAAACAGTTGAACAGTTCTTGTTAAATTTATTCATACATACGTAATTTTTGTGCCGCTGTTATAAATGCGACTTTCTTCTTCATAATATCTTCTAGTTTAACAAGGTAGGGTTTTTTAAATTTTTATTTTTTTGCATGTGTGATTAGTCATTTAAAAAAATTACCAGCACTTTATAAAGCTCTCATGTGCCACACACAATTTTAAAACTAAGCTTTATTGTGAGGTAACTACCGACTGCCATGCAGTTGTAAGAAACAAGTGAGAGACCTGGGTCCTTTTACATGTTGTCCCCGGTGGCAGCACTGTCTTGGGATGAGCATAGCTCTGATTTCAGGGCCGGCCGGTTGAGGGTCGACGTTTTCCAGACCCCGGCGTGGTGCTTCTCAGTCCCCTCCGCGGCCTCGGCTGCGTCCCCCTCCTCACCTGGCGACTTCGTCTGTCGCCCCCTCCTCTCCCGCTGCGGCCAGGGCCACTCAGTGCCGTGGAGGTCGGGGGCGGGGGTGGCTTTGGACGGTGTCACATGCCCTGCGTCGGGGAGCGGGACGCGGGCGGTTGGATCTCAGCCAGAGAGCTGCTTCTCCTGAGGCCCCGGACGCCGCCCCGGGAAGGCTGGGCCCGCCTCATGCGCATCCCTGCCCTGGACTTGCGGCTGCTCCAGGGCAGGGAGCTCACTGCCCTCCGCGGCGGGGCTTGGCCTGTGGAGGGGAGGGGAGTGGCCACAGGGAGGGAGGCTGGACCCCAGGCCTGAGCCCGTGGGCACAGAGGCTCTGCGGGGCTCACTCGGAGAGGGACGGAGGAAGGAGCAGCCCAGACCCGGCCCTGGGCCTCTCTCCCCGACTTCCCCTTGGGATTCAGGACGCCCAGAAGCAAGCAGTCTGAAGGGAGCCACGTCCCTTGTCCAGTGCCCAGCTCCGAGTCCCCAGAGCTGGTGTGTGTGTGCCCAGCCCTGCATGCGCGTCCGAAGGATGGCCCGTGGCCTGCCACCTGGGCTGGGCCTCGGCCGCCCGCTGCATGTGGCCGCAGCCCCTCAGTGGTCCGCATTCTCAAGTGGTGGCGAGGGTCACGTGGACGGTGCGTGTAGCGGTCACGTCTGCACCGTGTGAAGGCAGACGTGCCCGTGCCCGGCCCAGGGCCCCAGGCCGCCTCCCTGCCCCTCCCCCCACTGTAATACGGTCCCTCGACTGCTACCCCTGCTTTGTTTCTGGTAGCTTCTTTCCTCTGTGATCCGTGTGATTTTGGGGACATTTGGAGATGTCTCACACCAGTTTGTTTTTATCTGTTTGTGCTTGGCTAAGTGCTGCCGTGTGGTTGCCACCCCCCGCCCCAGGACGTGTCCCTTGGCGTGTCTCTGGTGTGGCCACGGGCAGGGACGCCCCTGCCCCACAGGTGTCCCGTCACCAGTGTGTGAGGGCCTTGGGGCCGCAGTGCCTGGAGCTGGGGTGGAGGGGGCTCTGGTGGCCAGCGGGGGGGCCCTGGGCAGAGGCAGAATCAGGCTCCTGAAGGAACGTGACGTTTGGCCAGCTGCCAAGTGAGGTTCGGGTTGCTCTGAGGACAAAAGCCAAGGGGCTCCGTTGGTCTCCTGGGGCCGCTGGAGCAAATGGCCGGGAACTCTGTGGCTTGAAACAACAGACGTTAATTCCTGCGCGGGTCTGAGGCCACAGCTCCCGAATGAGCTGTGCTGGGCGCAGGCTGGGGGGTCGGCAGAGCTGGGGGGGCCCTGCCTCCTCCAGGCCATTTGGCCGTGGGCGTTCTGCGGCTTGTGGCCGCGCGGCCCTGCCCTCTGTGTGTGTCTGCCTCAGGCCCCTCTCTGTCTTGCTCTCACGAGGACACTTGTCTTTAGATTCAGGCCCCCGGGCAACCCAACGCTCCTCTCCTCGTGGCGCTTCCTTAGCTTCACAGCGTGGACCCTTTTCCAGGGGAGGCCCCGGGCACGGAGCCCAGGCGTTAGGATGCGGACCTGTCTTTTGGGGCCGCCCTTCAGTGCCCCGCAGGGACCCTGGACTGTAGCATTCGCAGGGGTGAGGTGTCTGTTTTCTGTTTGCGCTTTGCCTGTGAACGTGACACTTATGTTCCACGACAGACCTGGCTCACAATCCAGGTGCGTTCCTTTGGCCTTTTGCCTATTGTTTGCTGTTATAATTAAAAACCTAAATGGGAACGAGTCAACGAATTCTTTTCTTTTCAGTTTGCATGAAATCAAACCCAATTTGGTGGGACGAGACGTTAGAAAGTAACAGATCTCATCTCAACCGCTGGAAGCCACTGATAGGAGGAGCTCTGTCCCCGACGGGGTGGGGTGCCCTTGACCTTCTCAGGGCTGGGGGAGGGGCTGGGTGGGGAAGGTCCTGCCTGGCGTGTCACCTGCCTGCTTGGCAGCGAAAGCAGGCTCGTTGCCGGCAGCTGCATCGCCGCAGGCCCTGATTTCCCCGCTGCAGCCTTTGTGAGGGGCTGATCGATAACTCACCAAGCGTCTCTTCTTGTTAGAGGTCAGAAACAAAAGGAGGGAGAATGGATGTGTGTGGAACTGATAGGTATTTCACCCAGAAGAGGGCTGTATTGATTGTGAACTAAAAACCACAAGGAACTGTGAAATCGGACAATTAGGCATCAGGATCACCTAATTTGAAAAATTAAGCCAGAAGGAATTACACAAATAGCATGTAAATGTGGATTTTATTTTATTTTGATTCTGTAATAAACTGGATTTTATAGGTGATTGTTTACCAAAGTGTCCAGATCTTACTGAATCCTCACAGTTTTTTTTGTGGCCGGTTTCCTGAACACATTTACAATACTTTTATTCTTAAGCAGCAGTGGATTCGTCGCCAGCCCCTCCTCGGTGCACTGTGGCCGCCCGGGACCGCCTGCGCCAGTGTCAGCTGCCGGCAGGGACGGCGGCATGCCCTTGCCTCTGACGGACGGAGCTGGGGGCGAGGGCTCTTACTTTGCCAAGTTTTAGCTCGTCCTTCTAGGACGTGGGCTTTTCCCCACTGAGTTGACAGGGACCTATTGCCTGTTCACCCCCGTGACCGGGCAGAGCGTGGCTGAAGCCTCACCCGCGATCTGGTCTTTGGGGTGTAAAGGGTCTGTGGGTGGTTCGAGGCCCACCCATGACGGGGACTCAGGGAGTTGAGATGGATTAGTTCAAAGTCCTGTGCTGATTTGGGGTGTTTTCCCCTCATGGAGGTACAGGGTGCAGCAGGGTGGGGCACCATCCGGCAAGGAGTGGCCGGAAGGCTGCCCTGGGTCGGACGTGCGACTCCTCTCTCCGCGGGGACCCGTTCGCGCACATGCTGTCTGCATTGCAACCGGCAGGGCCCTTCTGTGTGTGTGCGCGAGACTGACTTGGGCTCGGTGCAGTCGAGATGTGGCCGCCCCCAGCCAGAGAAACGGGGAGCTCGGAGCCCAGCCACGCCCAGAGCCCCAGCTTCCCGTGGCTCCCGACAGAGGCAGCGGCAGTCAGGGGGTCCCTGGGGCCTTCCCTTGGGGAGGCGCCCTGCACCCTTCGGCTGGGCCCGGGCCTTGGCCTCCTATCCTCGCCACGCCTCCCTGTGGCCACGCCTGTCGGAGGGAGGGGCTGCCTGGCACACTCAGCCCGTGGTCAGAGGGACGGTCAGATGGAGGGTCCCGCCCCCTGGGTTGCTCAAGGACAGTGACAAAACACCTGTTCTCCGGCTCTCCGCATCCTAGAGGGTCAGAGGGTGCTGTGACGGGGGTGGGGTGGGGGGGAGCATCAGGGAGCGAGTCTGTGCTCACGTTCCATGTGCCTGCCCACCACCCTCGGGCCCTTTGTCCTCCTGCATCGCCCCCACGGCTCAGCATCCTCCACGTGGCGGCTCCCGGGGAGGCCGGCGGGTCTCAGAACAGGAGGCTGGCCTCCCCGCGCTCCTTGCTGCCTGTGGGTGGGACGCTGTGTCCTGCTTTTGCCGCGGGTCCTTCTTTTGTAAAATGAATGTGATGCTCTCTGGCCTCGTCCCCTTCTCTTTGCGGCGAGTGTACCCTTGCTCCCCACCTGCGGGGCTGTGCGACCGCTCACGTGCCCTGCGCTCTGTTTCCACTGCAGGCGGCTTCTGTCAGCTCCTTGGCCAGCCTGGCGTGCATGCGCACGGTTCGCTGGGCCGTCTGGCAGCCTGCGCCAGAGGCCGGCAACGGGAGCATGGCGCTGCCTCTGCAGGGCGGGATCCGGCCCAACCCCTTGCGCTGCCTGGTCTACAAGGTGCCCCCAGCCAGCCTGAGCTCCGAAGAGGTGAGTTGTTCGTGCTCCATAATTACAACTCTTATCACCAAGCTTCTAGCAAGTTCGTACGTTTTTAGAAGTTGACAGATATGTTTGCTGATGTGTCATGAGCAGAATTTGTCCGTCACGGATATGCTCTTAAAAATGTGTGACTTCTGAGCTGTCGTCGCTGTGAGCTCACGGCGCCGCCTTGACCTGGGGTCTCTGCATCGCTCTCCGTGTGTCAGTCCGTCTCTCGGGGGAGCTGCAGGGCTGTGACTCTTATTTGTACACGCCTTGCAACGAGGCCCATGCCTGTGCTGCACGTGCCATTTAGGAAAGAAACACATGGTGCCCTGGGGGATGGGCCCCCGTGGCACAGGGGCCGGGCAGGGGGCCAGGCGGCCAGGTGCAGCGCAGCGCGTCTGGGGGCTTGTCACTCACGCCCGCTGGCCCCCGGCTCTCACCAGCTGTGGAAAGAGGGTGGGACCAGAGCCAGAGTTTGAGGAACCCACTTTAGAAATGAAGTTCTCTCTGACCCGCAGTATAGGAAGCACAAAAACAGTGGGGCACAGCCAGGTGACGTGTGTGTGAGGCGTCTCATCCCCTGCTCACTGGTGGCCTTGCAAGGTGGCCTGTAGTGACCAGGGAGCACAGACGCCGTGGGGAGCCCTGCCCTGGCTGTCGTGTGTCGGGCGCCGTCCTGTGTGGGCACGCTGTCTGATTCTTCGGCTTCCGTCCCCGAAATACGCCCAGCCTGTCTCAGAGGGACCCAGTTGTCTCATTTTTCTTCGGTAAAGGGACCATGCCTGTTATGGCAGTGTGTCACCTGTGTGCTGACGCTAGCAGCAAACATTATTTCAGTGCTGCTATTTATGATTCGGGTAATGCGTTGGGGACCTGGACAGGGGACAGCTGACTGTGCAGCTTTTGTGATTGGGAAGATCGCTTCTCATTCCGGGTCCACATTGTGCTGCAGTCCCGCGTGGCCTGGTCTGAGCCGTTGTTATAAAACTGCCGGACGGCCGCGCGGGCCCCACGCCCCGGCCGGTCTCCCAGCCAACCGCACCCCTCCTCTCTCCCGCTCTCTCTGTAGGTAAATACGTACTTATTTTGTTTCATTTTGGCCTTCTCATGCCACTACATTTCCTTCACTTTTTAAGTCTGGAAACGGTACTGGGACATCACATTTTTGAAGGTTTGACTATTTTCAGGGCACGGACGCATCAGACGCTGCCAGTTTTGAGGGAGTTTCTCCACCTTGGCCCTGTTGACATTTCGGGCCAGATTACCCGGAGCGTTGGAGGCCAGCGGCAGCCCTGGCCTCGCCACTAGGCGCCAGCCGCGCCCCCGAGGGTGCCAGCCCGGACACGGCCAGGCGGCTCCCAGGGGTGGGCTGCCCCGCGCCGAGGAGCACGCTCTCACCGGAGGCTGTGACCTGAAGGCAGTCACAGACTTGGCTCACTCCCCCACGCTCTGAAAGCCCTCCCGCTCCCGTCACCGTTGGCGGCAGCGCCTGTGCCTGTCACGTCAGGCGGGCTGGACGCCTGGGCGGCCTGTGCTCTGCTCCTCCCGCAGCTAGCTCATCTCACGGACACCCACCCTAGGAAAAAGCCCCCAAGCCCACGGAGCTTGCGGCTGAGTGGGTGCGGCAGATGCCAATCAAGGGAAAGGATGAATGGTAAAAACGTACCCTAATTTTTGGCTGAGGAAATTTTGGGGTTTATACGGTGATCATTTCAGTGTTACTTACGGTGACGGTTAAGCAGTATATTGAGATTATGTTCTCTCCTGAATAACTCCGAATTTTCCCCTTGAGCAAATAATTATCTTAAAAAACTTGTATCTGCAGAGGTGGCCACTGTCAGCTCTTGGCTGGGACCGTGGTTTGCTTTGTTTTCTAAGTATGGCGCTTCTGCCGCTCTTTCTTACTTTACAAGCCGGAGGGCTGAGGTGGGGCCAGGAAACTGAAGGTGCCCTGGGGGTCACGAAGAGGGAGGAGCTTGGACAGCCACCCATGCAGTTGTTTAAGAGATGCCGGGCGAACCCCCAAGCTGCACCTTCCTCAGTCTGAGCCTAAACAGCACACCAGAGACTCGGAGAGCTGAGCCATGGGACAGATGGCCACCTGGTCCCAGGTCACCCCTGGGTGGGCCCTGCGCGGGAGAAACCGGAGAGCATCGCCCAGGCTCTGCAAAGGGGCCCCATTACACACCCCCCCATAAAATAAAGCTGGAGAGTAAAGAGATGTATATGGTGATAAGGTTTCCACATTCCACTTGAAGTAATAAAATATCAATTCTGAGTAGTCTGAGTAATCACGAAAAATAGGATACAAAGAGACAGTCAAAAACCCAATAGAGAAAATGGAATAATTCAAAAGAAGCCAGGAAAGGGAAAACAGGAAGGTGCCACCGAAGGGACAAATCATGGTAAACGGTGGTCCGGAATCCCGCCACTCCAGTAATGAGGTAGAATGTAAACAGTCTAAGCACACTAATTTAAAGGCAGAAGTTGTCAGGCTGCATAAAAAAATCAAGGTCCATACACCTTCTCTCTACCAGCAGCTCCCTTCAAGTACAAGGATGCAGGCTGGCTAACAGTAGGAGACGGAAGGCATTGCATGCGAACACCAATCCAAGGAGAACGACTGGCGACTACAGTGGACTTTGGAGCGAAGTGAATGCCCAGGAGTTAGGGGACGTTACCTGTGGTAGAAGAGCCAGTCCACCGAGAAGACGCACCACTCTAAGCGTGTGTGCAGCCAGGGCAGGTAGAGCTTCAAAGCATGTCCAGCAAAAGTTCTAGAACTGAAAGCAGAAATGGACACGTTGCAGGGACAGCCTGAGCCTTCCTTCTTCAGGCCTCTGGGACTGCGCCGTGTAACACGGCTAGGAAGTGACCAAGACGCAGGAGCCGCCCATCGTCACCAGCCACCAGGACCTAAGGGACACTGACCAAAGGCCCGCCCACCGTCAGCAGAGCACACGTTCTGCCCAAACGCACACGGACATTCACCAAGACAGGCCGCGGCCTGGGTCTCTCACACTCTCTCACACACACACACACACACACACACACTCTCTCTCTCTTTCTCTCTTTAACAACTTTAAAAGAGTTGAAAGTATACAAGGTATATTCTGTGATTATAATGGAATTATATTAGACATAAATAGCAAAGGTAACATAATAAATTAGAGACACTTGGAAATTAATGCATTTCTGAATAACAGAAATAACACATTCTGAATAATACATCGTCAAGGAGGAAACCTCAAAGGAAGAGTAGAGGGTATTTGGAACTGAACAGGAATGAAAATACAACATATCAAACTTTGTAGGATGTGGCCAATGTGGGCCTACATGGAAATTTATAGTGTTAAGTACTCATATCAGAACAGAAAAAGGGTCTCAAGCCAATAGTTTCATCTTCCACCTTTAGAAACTAGAAAAAGCAGAACAAAATAAACCTAAAGCAAGCAGAAGAAAGTCAATAATAAAGATAAGAGAAGTCGATGAAATTGGAAACAGAAACACAATAAAGAAAAAAAATGGAGAAAACCAATGAGACCAACAACTGATCATTTGAAACGATCAATAAAATGGATAAATCTCTAGCAAGACTGAAAAAGAAAAAAGAGAGGGCACACTGCAGACCTCACAGGCAACAAAAGGATATTTGGGGAGTACATACTTTGAACAACCCTGTGTCCCTAAATTTGATAATGTAGATGAAATGGGTCAATCCATCCTAAACAACCAACTATCAAAACTCACCCATGCTGAAGTAGATAACCTGATATCAATTCAATAGAAATCGAAATCACAGTTAAAAATATTTTGAAAAAGAAACATCCAGGCCCATTCACTATGAATTCTACTAAACGTTTAAAGAGGCGCTAATGCCAATTCTGTAGAATCTCTTCCAGAGAATGGGAGGGATGGGAACAATTCCCAGTTCACATAATGAGGCCTGCATTATGGCCAACATCGGAAACAGAAGAAGAAAGCTATGGACACAGATGCAAAATACTTAACAAAATATTAGCAAATCGAATGTAGCAATATGGAAAACAGCACACCGTGACCAAGTGGGGCCCGTCCCAGGAATGCAAGGCTATTTTCTTCATGAAAATCAATAACTGCAATTCGCCATAGCAACAGCCGATAGGAGGATAACTCTAGGGTCATAGCAATTGATGCAGGGACGCATTTGACAAAATTTAACATCCATTTATGTAGAAACTGAGCGAGAATTTCCTCAGTCTCGTCCTGGGCATTCACAAAGCCCTTAGATCGTACTTAAGGGGCGCGGGGCTGGCATGCCCCTAAGGTCAGGAACAGGCGGACGAGGTCCGCTCAGAGCCTTCAGGACCGTGCCCAGCATTGCACTGGAAGCGCCCGCCATGCCGTCAGGCAAGAAAACAAAAGAGAAGACACACAGATTGGAAAGGAAGCACCAGAGCTGCCCTTGTTTGCAGACAACTTGATTGTCTATATAGACAATCCCAGGGGAGCTCCAAACAAACTCCCAAAGTGAGGTGAGTGAGTTTATCGAGGTTGCAGGATACAACCAGAGGTCAAATAAAAGAAAAAAAATCAACTTATTTCTATATGTTTGCAATGGAAAGCTCAAGAGCAAAATTTAAAAAATGGTGCTATTGACAAAGTCCTCCACGCAGTGAAGTCTAACAAAGTACGTACAGGGTCTGTACTCCGAACATTAGGGAACGTTGCTTTCGCTCCATGTCGTTGTTTTCTTTGTGGCTACTCTTAGGTGAAGTCAAAGACGACCTAAATTCACGGAGAGAGAGGGGACATCTTTGCCAAGGCTCAATATAATAAAGATAGAAATTGTCTCGGAATTGATCAGTGGATAATGCAATTTCCCCCAGAATCCCAGCAGGATTTTTTTTTTGTAGGTATAGATAAGCTGATTCTAAAACGTACATAGAGAGGCAAAGGAATTAGAAGAGTGAGAACAATTCTGAGAAGAACAGTGGAATTGGCAGAAGGGGGCAAGGCGGCGGGGGCTCTGGAAAGTCAGTGCTGCCCAGGCTCGTTCAGAAAGCGCATGCGGACCTGGGGAGATGTGGTTCCCACTGCGTAAGGCCTGTTCTGGGGTAATGCGGCCTTCTGGTATTTTTAAGGCCAAAGTTGATTGTTTTCTGCTCCGAAAATTACTCAATTATAGTCCAAGGGCACGTGAACTGTTCCCGGTTGAATTATCCCGACGAAAGGGCACTAACGATGGGGGCGTGGCCACCTCTGCTCTGTGTCAATCGTAGGTGAAGCAGCTGGAGTCGGGGACAGTCCACTTCCAGTACTCTCTGAGCCCTGACGGACACCTGGACGCACCCACAGGGCACCCCCGGGTGGAGCGGCGGCCCTCCAAGGGGACAGCCACGTCCCCTTCAAGTAAGTGCTTGCCGGCGCTGACTTTTCAGGTGCGCAGCGCGACTTTACCTGTTCCTGAGGAAAGGCACGTGGCGCAGCACCGTGACACCTGTCAGGCAACGGTCACAGGCGGCTGTGGTTTGAAGCAGGTGGCCGAGCTTCTGCTTCCGGTGGGGTGTGGTGCTGCAGAGTGCCACCACACGGCCCGCCCTCGTCCCCTGTGCCCCAGCCACGAGTTGGCTCAGCTGCTTGCAGCCTCTGACCAACGGCCCGTGGGAGGTTCTCTGGGTGACACCGAACGGCCACGTCACGTGGCTGTCTTGCCAACACAGGGCTTGAGAAGTGGGCCGAAAGCCCCGGACTGGCTGCTCCATCTTGCATTGTTAATGGAGCTCTGAGTTTGTTGTTTTGTAAAAATGCTTTCTGCTTCCTCGAAGCCCTGTCCAACAGTGGGAGTCTGTGATCTCAGTCTGTGGCTTTAAGAAAGGGAGAGAGGGCTACCTGCAGGGCGACCTTGCTCCCGTGGGTGGCGATGCCTCGCATGTGTGCAGGTGGCTGAGGAGCAGCGGGGCTTCAGCTTCCTGTCTGGTGGGCTCCGCCCCTTCTGCTGTGGCCGGTACCTGGTGTTCAGGGCCCCCTACTTGGTGCCCGAGGACCATCTGGCCAGCGTCCTCCCTGAGACCCCACTGCGGGGAGAAAGGGCGCGGACGTTATAGGGGCGTGTGGGAGAGGTTCGGCGCGAATGAGCCAGGACCCGGCTCTGAGCGTCCGAAGATCTCGCCAGCCACAGGGATGTTCTAGGTCACGCGTGGCTGGAAAGTTAGACAGGCAGGGAACAAGTGAGCCAGTGGAGGGGCGCTCCGTGTGTGTGTCCCTCCCCCCGGGGGTTGTCCTGTGACGAATCTGCCAGGTCTCAGCATGGCCCGCCAGCTGCTACTGACCGCAGGTCCGGATGCTTGGGCCCTGGAGGCGCCCATGTCTTTCGTCTGGGAGTGAATTTTTACGAGTTGAAATTGTAGTTTGTGGCAACTGGTCTTGTTGCATCCTCTTCACCGTGGGTGGAAGCAGCATACTTGATGTCTAAAAACATTCAGGCTCCCAAACAGAGCTGTCTTTTCCAAGAGGCAGTGCGTTCGATGGCGGTAATTGTTTTGTTCTTTTGCTTTTTGCGTCTGGTGCTTAGCACGCTGTCCTCGGGGCTGCTGCTTCCTGCCGGGGCGCGTTGGAAAGCCTCTTGTGCGGGCGGCTCTGAAACGTGCAGCCTGCCTGGCCTTGGAAGGTGCCAGAGGGGCAGCTGGGCTCCCTCGCGGTTGCGGGTGGGAGGCGCGCGCTTTCTGACTCCATGTGGGATGTATTTCCAGTCTTATTTGATTAACTTGAATGCATTGAAGGCACAGAATATGTAGTTAAAAAATTCTAAACAAAGGGTCAAATTTATTGCTAACCCATTCCCTGTTTCAAATCTAGTATCTTTTCTTCTTTGACATAGTCACAGTTACATTTAAAAAATGAAACAAGTATCGGCCTTTAAGAAATATGATAGGAGAGGACAGTGTTCTAGATGATAAAAACAGGTATGTTTTGTGATGAAAACAAACACAATTACTCTGATTTTTGATTAAGTTGCTGAAAAGGACATTAAGGAACTGTGGCGGCCGTGGGTGCCCTTGTCCGCGGGAACGCCCAGCAGGCCTGCGCCTCCCCGCACGGCCGCTGTCGCCCCGCGGACGCAGACCTGGACGCGGCCACGGCACGGGACACGGCGGCCGGCACTCTGGGGGCTCGACCCCGATCCCTGGCGGCTGGGTCAGTGCGGGGCGGGGGGTGCGCTCCGTGGGCGTCTGGCTTCACTGTGCTGGCGCGCGCCTGTGCTCGCGAGGGGGTGTGAGGGGCCGCAGCCTCGTCCGCCGCCGCCGCCTCCGTTTCCTTTCACTCATTTCATTTGTTTTGGTTTGTGGTTCATTGAGCTCCTTGGATCTCTGGGTGCGTAGGTTCCTTCGCAGCGGGAGGGAATTCGATCACTCCTTCCCCTCCTTTTCTCCTGCCTGCCCGTCTGCCCCGCTGTGGGCCCGCTGCCCCGCAGACCTCGGGTGCCCCGTGCGCCGCTGCCGTCGTCCCTTCTCTCCGCGTCCCGCAGCGGACAGCCCTGGCGCGTGCCCTCACGGCCACTCTTCTTCCGCTGCGTGTCCGCTCTGCCCTGACCCCTCCCTGTGCCGTCTCACCCCCCGAGGTCCCGCCCGGGTCCTTTTTGTATCTGCCGCGTCCTGACTTAGCACGTGCGAGGTGTCCGCTCCTTCCGAGCGCAGGAAGTGCAGCGATTGTAATATCGCCATTTGCCAGTTCTGTGCCTGTCAGTTCCGGGTCAGTTTTCACGGAGCGCCGTCCTGACTCCGGGCGTGTTTTCACGCCCGGTCGCGTCTGACGGGGTGTCAGGCGCGTGCCCTTGTGCTGGTGCTGGCCACCTCTGTGTGTGGCAGACACTGATACTCACAGGCCTTGCCCTTGAGAGTTTTAGATTCTCACTGAGTCTAGGGCCCATTCATCCCCACAATGTGACAAGTTCCTTGGGGTGCTCTGCCCCGTGGCCTCTGAGTTACAAGGGCTACCAGCCTGGCTGATGTCTGGCCCTGCGCGGGCGCCGGCTACTGCTCAGGTGGCTCCTTCGCCAGCCCTGGGTGGCTTCCTGGAGGGACCAGTGCACGTGACCAGAATGCACTCTGCACTGCACCTGCCTGGCGCTCTGCCCACCTCCTGGGCTCCATCTCCTCAAACAAACCCCCCTCCCGCTCCGGGGTCCCCCTCATCCTGCCCCTGCCCCGCCACCCGCAGGCTCACTGAGCACACAGGGCTCACCTCTTGTTTCTTGTTCCTCAAAATCACTCTCTTGTTGCCTGAATCCCACTCTCTTGAAAACCATTGCTTTATGTAGCTGGTCAGTTTTTATACAATTCGTCTCAGGTGGGAGGATAAATCCAGTGACTGCTACTCCGTCTGGGCCAGAAGGCGACGTTGGTGCCGGCTGGTAAGGGTTTCTCGGCTGCTGAAACCGCCCCTCCCAGGCCGCCGGCTCCCCACAGCCCGTGCCGCTGGGCCCTCACCGAACGACCGCATGGCGCCCTGTCGTGGCCGTGACTCCGGCCCAGCTCTCCGCCCAGCGTGCGCCTCCCTGGCCGCTGCCTTCGTTTCCTTCTAAGGCTGACACTCTTCCTGCAGTAACAAACTACGTGGCCAGGAGGAGCCGAGCCCGCCTGGAAGAGGATGAGACACTTAATCTTTCTTGCTCTGCTGACTCACCCCTGGCTACAGTAACGACTGGTGCGGTGTTGGTGCCGAGACAGGTAAATAATAGGACAAAGTAACGACTGATGGATGACCATTCCAGATGAGGAGTGTCTTGGTTTCCTGTCTTGTTGTCACAAATCACCATGAACTTAGTGACCTAAACCAGCAAGAACTTCTGGTCATACAGCCGGAGGCTGGAGTCCGACGTGGTCTCTGGCGGAAACCCAGGCCTGGGCGGCGCGCTGCTCCCGCGGGCTCCGGGGCCCGTTGCCGTGCCGTTCCTCACTTCCAGGGGCCTCCGGCGTCCTTTGCCCCTCCTCTGTCTCCCAGGGCAGCGGCGTGGCGTTTCCAAATCTTGCTCCGACTCTGGGCCGCCTCACTCCCTTTCGCTTATTGGGACCGTTGTGATTGTGGGGGGCCCACAGGGTGCCCCAGACATCTCGCAGTTCCAGGTCCGCTTCTTGCAACCACAGTTCCCTTGGATGTGGATGATTTTGGGCCCACCGGTCCATTGACGGTGCTGGAAATGCTCCCCACATGGAAAATGTACAGTCTAATTTCATGTCACGTTCAGAAATAAACTTTAGATGGATTAAAAACCAGAACCTTAGAAACTTCAGGATCAGAAGATTAGAAAAAAGAAAGATTATAGAAAGAGCTGCTCCAAATCAATAAGGACTGAAAACAGCGGGAGAGAAAAACGGGCCCAGGATGTGGACGGGGAGCTCACAGCGGAGCAGCCAGCGTGACCGGCACTCGCGGGGAAGGGGCGCTTGGTCTCACCCGGCATCCGAGGCGTGTGCGCACGCACCCCCCCGGGGAAAGTCTGGCCGTCAGCTAACGAGGGCCGACGAGGGTTTGGGAAAGGGGGGCTCTTCCACGGGGGGAGCAATGCCGTGTGGACAGACTGGCCTACAGACAGACAGCTGCTCCAAAGGGCCGTTTCCTAATAGTAAATACCCGCCCGTGCAGAAAGGCGCGCCCTGGACGCCGGCGGCAGGACCCAGGCTGTTTGTACGCACGCAGGCCTCAGTGGGGACGCCCCCGCACGCCGCTCACAGCAACGTCCAGGCTGCCCCGGTGGGCGTGGCGAGTGGGCTCCTGGTCTGGGCGACCGGACGCTGGAGAACCGGCCAGAACCGGCGGAGCCTCAGGACAGGGTGCTGAGGGGGCAGCGCAGCCTGGAGGGCGTGGGCGTGGGCTGTCCGGTGGGCCCGCCCAGACCAGCCGGGCACTGTTGCTGTCACTCTGCAGAGTGGGCCGGGCTAAAGACATCCACGTGAACAACAAAAGTGGCGAGATCTCGGGGAAAAATCGGAGACTCTCCTTACAACCTTGGGGTCAGGAAGGCCTTCTTTAACACGACAGACGAAGCGTAAGCCGAGAGGGAGACGAGCAACGTGGCTGCGTTCAGGTGTGAGGCTTTCTGCAAGAGAAGACTCCGCACACAGAGTTCAAAGGCAAATCTCGGACCGAAGGATGTTTGCAATACATATAACCATTAACGTTAATGGAAAGGCTTAGAAGATTAGAAAGAAGAAATATTATAGAAAGAGATGCTGCAGATCAATACGAGGCAGATAAACAACCCAAGAGAAAAATGGGCCCAGGACCTCAGAGCCGCAGAGAGGATTAAATGGCGAAGGTCCGCCTGAGTGCTGGGGCTGCCCGGCCCGGGGCACGTGCTTTGCGGTCGCCGTCGCCTGCCATTGGGATGGTCACCGTCGTGCTACTGCTCG